TCACTCCCGAACAGCTTGACGCCACTCGTGAACCTTGACCCGAAGCCTTCCAGGGGGCGATGTCAAGGTCTTGATATGGGACAAGACCGATGCTATAGTGCGGAATTGGTCTGAGCCGAGTTCTTGGTTGAAGTTGTCCTCAAATACAACTAAACAGTCGCCAAGGCTTAAACTCACATTGTCGTAGATGTTCTGAGACCAGGCCTTGTCGGCCTCCGAGAACTACGTATATACAACGCTGGAGAACACAAGTTGCTGATGAACAGCACAATCACAAACAAAGCATGCCGGCTCAGTCTGCTGATGACCACCAGCAATGCATCAAAGCAGGCGTTGTTGAATATCAAAACAGTACTGACGAACGACTCATTGCCGTGAATTTTGTACTGCTCAGAAAGTGTGGCTCTGGGTTTGGCACGACTGCAACCACCAGTACGCCAGAAGAATGCCTGATGCTGAAAATCTTGAGGCTCAGTGGTCCGAGTTAAAGTGAATCACCTAGGTCTACCGGAAGCGGGACCAGTGGGATTGGCTCTGGGAGAGCGGCAGGCCATTGTGGCAGGGGCAGGTCTAGGACCGAATGTGAGACTAGCATCCATGTTCACAAGAGTGGAGACGATGAACTGAAATTCGTCCAAGGCTGACTATCCTCAAACATGTGCGTTGCAGCGTTTCTTCGTGCCTATATATGATGTGATGCTCGAGGAACTTCAAGCTCTTCTCTTGAGGTCATGGCGTCGATGACAGCATTCTCGGGCTCGAGCTTGATCATGACAAATGCGCAGGAATGAGCTGGCGTGGGCACGAGATGACGAGCGTGCAAGCTGCGAGTTGATAAGCTACAGTTTCGCACTTGAACCCATTCTTCTGAGCAGATCAACCAGACCTCGCACAGTGCCAAATCACGTGGCTTTTGAACTTTTAGTGCAAGTTTTAGAAGTCTGTTCGGAAAAGTCGCAAGAGGTTGAGCATAATTCATATGACATGATGGAAAGAGACAGTTCGATTCAAGTGCGTCGACTGTTTCAGTATCAGACGAGACAGAGAATGATCTCGAGGGCGGAGACGCTGCAGTGATCACGGAAGGCAGATCAAGCCTGAAAGAAGGAAAACTTCACCAGAAGCATTCCCTGAGTACTGTCCAAAAGGACAGTTTCGTGGATAGACAACAGAAAGAATGAGTTCGTCCATGTTGAGCTCAATCTTGTAGTCATGGAGATTTGATAGCGTCGCAAGGCTGATTAGTCTTAAGAAGACACCAACGATGCCATGACCTGAAGTCGGAATTTTGTTCTTGATCTTACTGCCAATGCTTGTACCGACAACGCTATACAGCTTTAGAACTAGCGAGGCGCTTGACAGAAGTCCTCAGAAGCGACGAAGGTGGCTGCGAGCAGCGTCTTGGTAAGCATGAACGTCCTCAACATGAAAGAAGACAAGGATGTCGTCATTGACGGGCAGAGGGGCAGCGACGGGCAGGCTCAAAGTTGACGCTGGAATAACAATGTCTGCGGGGCATTGTGGGCGCATGCGCTTTTGACGCTCGCGACAAGCAACAACAGTCTCCAGTTCGACTTGGGCCTGAGACCCAGCCAGACGGAGCTGGACAGTCGGCAAGTAGCCGTCGACAGGCGGAGGGCACGCAAGAATGCTTACCACAAACACATGCTCGCCGTGATTGCGAGGGAGGTCGCGAGACTTGAACGAAAGCCCTCGCGACCGCGCTTCCTGGCACCTCGAGCATGAGACAGTTTGCAGAAAGGCAACACAGCGCCAATGCCGTAGAGCGAGTTGATCCTGGCGGATGGCAAAGTAGGATACAACTGCTGTCGAAACGGTGGCGGATGGGATGGGTATAGCGCTTGAAAGGCTGACGAATATCCGTTGCTCGAAGCCTCTTGAGGTCTGACACATGCAACCACGTAGTGATGATTGGTCATCGGAGCTATATGGGCGAGCGCCAAGAACGTGCAGCTGGATAAAAGTGCTTGTGACAGACATAAAGAGTCGACAGTGTAGCAGAACAGAGCAGCCAAGTCGGCATCAAGAGCGGGGTGGGCGAAAGCAAAGCCGTGACTTGACGTTTTGCCGCAGAGGTGGTTGGATCAGGGCAGTCGTTGGCAGTCACGGAAAGTGTGGCTGATTGCTGTCGAGTTTCTTCAACTGCCTTGCCAGTCACAGACTGCAGGTAGAAGGTAGATCAGAAGAAGATGCAGATGCCGGTTTGGGTGATGACAAACTCGAGAACGAGACCTGAGCAAATTGCCGTGCGCCAGACTGTAGAAGAGACATTGGGAGTAGTTAAAGGGAACGAAAGTTGAGGCAAATCTCCGTTGATGGACATCAGACCCGTGAAAGGCGGTGATCGAGTGGCTTCAGGTGTTGGTGAGGGAAGTGTGAGACGAATGAGCACATGCTGTTTGCTGAACATGGTGAGTAGTCAGAAGGGGAAACAAGGCGAACAATTTTTCGTGATGATGATGATGATGATGATGATGATGATGATGATGATGATGGTGATGAGTGCTAGGAGAAGGAGGGGGAGAGTGAAAAATATGTATTAGAAAGCAAGAAACATAACCGCCCACCCAACCAAGTCGCCTACCACAGACGGCAGCGCGACATGCAAACTCATTGCAATCCAAAACCAAACCTCTTGTTCATGACCGATGCATGGGAAGACCGTCTATGGAAGCTGAGAAACCTTGTAACCTTTTACCTTTTCCTTCATAGCCTGAAACCCGGCTTCAAAATGCCCTCTCCTTCTTTTGCGCCTTCGTTGATCTTGTCGTTGTATGCGTTGGGGTCTCGTAGGAATGATTCGTCGGTGGAAAAGGCCCTGTTGTGCCGGAAGAAAAAGAGATCGTAAGCTTGGGTGTCTTTTTGTTGGGTTTTGCAATTTTTCCGATGTTTTTGCGAGTTCGTCGTGAGGGTCGTAACTTTCATGAGGTATCACGCGAGAAAGGGAACAAAGGGTAGACTTAATGCTCGATGCATGCCAAGAACAAAACGAGATGATAGGTCTTGCTGGAGGAAGCTGGCCAAANNGTGTGTGGGCTTATAGCTTNNTAGACAATGTTGACACCGCCGGCACCGTAACTTGCAACAGTGACCTTGGGTGCCAAGTAGTCAAGACCAGGCTCGAGCCACCAGTTCCTAGATTGGGATAGTATCCTCTTTCAAGTCTTGTGGAATATAGGTGGGGGTAAGAAGGTGCAAGGAAATGTGAAGAGGGTCGGAAGGATAAGGCATCGCGCAAGAGAGAAAAAGGAAAACANNAAAGAGAGGTATCATACCAGCCACGTTCTTCGCCCTTCTCCAGGAAGGAACAGTCACCGTTGACCTCACAGTCCCAGCCACCCTTGACACCCTTACCTCTCCAGTTGACAAAGGGGATGTTCTCGGGCTCGTCCAGTGTCCAGATGTGTTGCTTCTCGACGGGTGCCTCGGGAATGTTGCGGCGAGTGAACTTTGATAGCGAGCAAGTAAAGCACTTGAAGTCTTCTTCGCTGGGATCCTCAGGCATGCGTCCAGTCAAAGCACGACCAATGCAGATCATGCTGGCGGCGTGTGTGCAGATGAGTAGCGTCTTGGGCCCAGCAGGGTCCTGATCGAGCTGCTGGATGACGTGATAGAGGGCGTAGGCAATGCGGTCGTGAAGGGAAGTCAGACTCTCTCCGTTGACGCTGGGGCGGATTACAGGCACATGGGCCTCGACGAGGCCACCGGGAAAGTGCTTTTGAAGGACATCAAGAGTAGCGGGTGAGGGATGGTCGAAGCGGGCAAGACCGTAGAACTCGCCCACGCCGTTCTCGACGTGCACTTGCAGCTTCTTGTCTTCGGAACGGTCAGAGTTAAGCTTGCTCACAGTGGGTGCCAGAGTTTGCAAGCAGCGGTAGAAGGGAGAGCTGTAGATGACATCGACCGGAGGATCCAACGTGGAGATGTGCTTGGCCAGTTCCTTTGATTGATTCACGCCATGAGCTGCCAGTGCCGGGTCTGAAGCGATGCCAGTTGGTGTGGGAAGGTTACTCGTGTATGTGCCAGTAGTCGGGTCAACAACCCAGTTAGAGCGGAACTGTTGAGATGATGAGTATGTTTCTCGGAGGTCGAGAGATGGAACAAGAGTGTGAGGTAGGGTATCATGAAGGTCAAAGACATAACATCACAACAGAGCACAAACGGAGGAAAGTGTGTGTCAAGCTTGAGCTCATAGCTCCTGCCTGCATAAGTCCAACTCTTTCTTTGTGCTGAGAGGAAAAAGGAAATCGCGGCCTGAGAGGCCATGACACATCGTGTCGGAAGAGTGTGAAAGGTGGGAAGGAGCAGAAAAGAGTACTCACGCCGTGTCTGGTAACGTAGATTGTCTCAAGAACCATGATGAGATGCGTCTGCGCAAATGTCAAAGTTTGGTGGATGTCGGTGTTGTTGTCCACAAGGGTGGTGGAAGTTGCTGAGCGGAAGTTTTGGAGGCTGCGTCAGCGGCGTGCCTGGAGAATCAAACGGCCGTGCGACAGCCGAAAAAAAGTAGATGAGAAGGGACTGATCGATCAGCGTCTTGTAGGCAGGCCTTATACGTGGATTTATCAGAAAGAGAAGAAAGGGCATGAAGGACTCAGAAGATTGTGGAAGAGAGCTCAGCAAACGAAGTCGGACAAAGAAAGTGCGTCTTGATGGTCAAGCTCAAAGAGGCCGCATGAAGCTCGCCGGGCATCAATGGCAGCATGCATGTAAAAACACAATCATGCACCGGAGACACGCAAGTCTACACCGCTTGATCATGGTCTTCTCTTTGATGGTCTCAGATGAGCTGTCGCAATGGGAGTGTTTGGTTTGGCAAAGTTCGGGACGTGTCACGAAAGGAATAGAGAAAAGTCATTGATGAAAAACAAAATGGTAGACAAGCGTCACTGGCTCTTCATTGAAAATGCTCAAAGTGGTATCTAGAACGAGACGAATGCCTGAAACTTTTGGGTGTTGAGAGAGAGGTCAAACAGAATCTAGTAGAAGAAACCGATGATCTTGCCGGCAACGTGCTTGCGGCGGGCTTCCTCGTGGTCCATGATACCGGCAGAGGTGGTCAGGACAATGTAACCGAACTGACGCGAGGGAAGGAGCTTGACAACCCACTTCTCCATGTCGCGGAGCTGGACGTTGTAGCGGGGAGAGATGACACCGGTCTTGTTGAGGCGGCCGTTAAGCTGGACAACAATCTTGCCGTTGCGGTGGTCGTCGACCTCCTCGAACTCGCCAATGTAGCCTGTGGGAGACGAGATCAGCATGTTGCGAGAAAATAAACAGCGAAACATCATTGAGCAGTCCGAAGCCGTGTAAGTTCCTCGTGGTTGATCTCCCGGATACTTAAAGGGCAAAGGCCGTGGGTGATTGAGACCGTTCACCTAGTTATCAACCCGGGTGTTGTTGTTGCTGTTCTATGTACAATCCTCCTCTTGCTGCTCCGGACTGGCGCATGATGTTGTCGAGTGAACAAGACTTACCGTGCTTCTGCATGACAGAGAGGAACTTGACAATGACCTTGGAAGAAGGACGGATCAAGACCTGGCGCTTGCCGCTCTTCTCGGCGTTGTTGATGGCGTTGAGGGCATCGTTGAGGACGGAAGTCTTGACCATGTTTGCGGTTGTCGGGCGAGATTCTCAAACGGCGATGAAGTAGGCGGTAGGAGGTATCTGCTGGTAGGGAGGTACATGTTAGCCCTCGGAAGCCATGAGCGCAAAGAGTGCCCTTCGGGATGCGCAAGCGGATGTGCGACCAGAAGGGTTCTTCAGCTCGTCCATGTCAGACTGGGCGGTGTCGCTCTCGGGTGAGGAGAGCGATGCGCCAGCCTGGGCTACCTGAAGGGCACTCGGATGCTATAGTGACAGGGCATGACTGCGACTGCCGTTGCGACGACTTACCTCACGGATTGGCGGCTGGAGTGATGGTAAAGAGGACGACAGGAAGGAGCGCTGTCCAAGGGAAGGAGTCGAAGTTTTTGCAGGCGCGCTCTGCAAGTCTTGGCGGCCAAATTCGCGCGGCACAGGCGCTGTGGGGGTCCAAGCTCGGCGCTTTCCGCATCGAGCAAGCGTCGAGCGGCCAGACGCCAATTTTCTCTCGAGTCTCCGCAACGAGGGAAGGAGCGAACAAAAGCACCCCACCCCCGAAGAACACAGCAATCTTTTTCCTCGTTCAGCTCCTTCCCCTTCTATCACCAACCCATCAACCACACAAACACCGCCAATATGCTTATCTACAAGGTGCGATATTCCACCTGTCCAAAAGAGCTGCTGTCTCCTGAGCGACCCGATTCTCCATCTGCTCGAGCTCGAGAAGCGCCGCTCTTTTGACAGCTCAAGCCCTCCCTGAGTCTCTGAACCCCGAGCTGACTCGACTCTTTAGGATGTTATCACCGGAGACGAGATGATCTCGGACTCTTACGACCTCAAGGTCACCGACGGTGTCATCTACGAGGCCGACTGCGCTCGCATCACCGTTGGTGGTGACAACATCGGTACGCTCTTCCCAGTTTCTCAACAACTTTCTCGACCTTGCCTCAGGGGCTAACAACTTTTCCTCCANGACATCGGTGCCAACCCCTCTGCCGAGGATGGTGGTGACGAGGGTGCTGAGGATGCCACCTCCACCGTCATTGACGTTGTCCACTCCTTCCGCCTCAACGAGACCTCCTTCGACAAGAAGTCCTACCTCGGCCACCTCAAGCAGTACATGAAGAAGGTCAAGGAGAACATGAAGACCAACGGCGCTTCCGACGACGAGATCAAGGAGTTCGAGACTGGTGCCCAGACCTTCGCCAAGAAGGTTGTCGGCTCCTTCAAGGACTGGGAGTTCTTCACTGGCGAGTCCATGGACCCCGACGGCATGATCGTTCTCCTCAACTACCGCGAGGACGGCAGTATGTTATACCGCCCCGAACATTACAATAGTCTCTTTACTAATATACCTTCCTCTTTCAGCGACACCATATGCGTGTTTCTTTATGTCCCCCTTTTCCTCTCTCATCTTTTCGCAAAACTAATATCTTGCAGGGAAGCACGGCATGTCCGAGATGAAGGTTTAAGCCTCTCAAAAAGCAGGCAAGCTGGTTGCATATCTGGGCTCTTGTCTTTTTCCAATTACGCGCTTTCTTATGATATCCATGAGCCCAATAAAAGCACGCTCACCTTTCTGACACCAATATTCTCCCTGCGTTGCACCTTCATGTGATACTCAATCCGACCATCAAGGTGCTCCCCAGACCTTGAAGCTATACTGCTGCGCCCCTTGTACTTTGGAGATGGTCATAGCATATAACCACGACCAGGAGCAGCCTCCGGAAATGCTCTTATCCCACATGTGACCCTTTGACTCTGTACGTCATCCTGTTGTCGGCGATCAAGAAGTTCGTATAGATCAGTGCATCAGACGGCATGTATCAAGTCGCATGTCCGAATTAGTGGAGAGGTGCTCTCTTTGTGTTGAGGTTGGAAATAACTGGTTGTGTCTTTCAAGTCGAAGGCTGCTGTTCTGAGCTTCTGTCTGACAGTATGATCGCGGTCGCACATTAGCACATGATGCTTTGATCACGATTAGCATATCCCTTACGATCGGCCTCTCTCTCACACTAACTCATCATGTCCTCATGAGTTATAAAAATACACAGTCTCTTCCAAGATAGAGGTGTCTCCATGGAGATGCTTGATAATGACGTTCTCTGCTTGGAGATCGCTCTGTTGTGAGAAGTATTGTGCATTGCTATGGCTACACTTTGACTGTCCATCATAAACGGGAAGAAACAATGCTCAGATTTACAGTGGTGTTTGGACTAATCGCTGCTAGTCGTTCCTGCAATACCCAAGCTCGTTGGCAAACCGCTTGTCAAAACGTACTGCTCGCGCTTCAAAACGAGAACAAAACTTCACGATCTTATGCCACAACAACACTTGCTCCATCGACAACTATCAACAATCTGTCAGCTGCCCATCAACTTCCGTCTGTCTGTTGAGCTCAAGTCGATGGTCAATGATTGAGAACAGGGTCTTATCCTCAGCGAGATCATGGAGTCGTCTATCATGATTGGTCAGTTCGACTTGGGCGCTTACTGCGGCACGGACCGTCACGTCGAAACCACAGTTCTGTCCCACTCGTTCCTCAGGCACACACCCCTTCTTGTTATCAACAACATTCTGGACGTTGTCTTATCGTCAGACATTCTTTTGGCTTTTTGGATACTCGAGTATACTTTCGGATGATGAATTGAGCTTCCTATCATCTTTTGCGCATTGATTGCCGGCGATGGCTGCCGTGGTCCCTGGTTTCGGCAAATCCAACGGCGGCTCACCTGCGCCGACCACTCCGCGAGGACAAGCAAGCAAGGAGATCAACACAATCATCGAACTCACGGCCCAAGAGTTCGGTCTACCTCTGAGGCCTCGAATCGGAACATTTTCACCCAGCAAGCGACCTGATGGCTACGCCGAGAGATGTGTTGATCACATCAACTTCCTATTCTTTCGCAACCGCATTGTTATGTACGATGTGATCAACCAATTTCGCAAGGACAAAGCAGAAGATTGTGTTTCTGGAGATTTTCTCGAGACGTTTTATACTCGTCTTCGGGATGCTGCTTGGATCGAGAAGCACAAACCGCGGATGGAAAAACTGCGACTCGATAAGCCTGAGCCTCAACAGGACTCCCGGTTCAAGAAGCCTGCTCCGAAACTGTCTTTGACACAGACAAAACTCATACCGACTATTAAGAAGAGCTCGAACTCCAGTCATGTCAAAGTCGCTGACACTGAGAATCAAAGCCCGAAGGACAAACTCCTCCCAGCCAACCAGTCTTTCCTTTTCGATAATCCGCATGCCACTCAAGGTACCAAACGTCTCTCCAATCAAGACCCTTACAGCTCTTCTAAGTATGTTCGCCCCCAGAAGCAGCGGCGACAGCAGCCGTCCTTCGATGATCAGTTCTCATGCAAGATCAGCCCATCCAACCCGAGCTTCAACTCATCAGTCCAAACCGATACGGCTCCCATCTATCCTGGACATGCAAACCAGAGTTTCGCTACAACTGTTGCTACTTCCTTCGACGGTGTATATGACGATTGGGACTCTTCGAGTGCCGACTACGGTGGAGAAATCGATCCTTCTCAGGTTGAACGCATTATGACGAGCTTTGATGGTGAAACCCCCAAGGATTCTGGAGTAGCCATCACTGAGTCGTCGATGAATCGCCAACACTTGACCTTTGACCAGTCTCACGACTATCCACCTGCCACAGCCTCAAATCTCTACACAGCGTCGGCGGATGTTCACTTACAAGTGGAGCCCGCAGCGGCCACGAAAGCCCTATTTTTGAAGAAGACCGCTTCGACGTCGAAGGTGCTCGAACATAGGCTTGTTCGCACGCTGCCAACTGATGGTCTCTTTGGTTCGCCCGTGGCTGTCAATGTCAATCACTCATCTTTCCATCATCTATGGGAGAGCTATCGACTGGCGGACACTACTGATGCACCTTTCCATTACTATGCGAACGAGGATGAGCTATATCAGAATATACCTGCTGGCACTCAGTTCCAACGGACGTCAGCTCAGGTGTGGGATGCCACGACTGATCCTACGCAATCTGCAAACGTGATCCTAAAAGCCAATCTCAACTTCAACGCTAGTGCATCGGCAGAAAAGCTGTTCACTCTTTCATTGCAGCCCCTCAAGTCCGAAAGAGCCTGCATAATACAGCGACGCTTTGGCTCGAACCGCTTTCTCTACGTCGAGGTGCCGCAGGTTCACACCTTGAATGCCGTCCACCTCAAAGGGCAGCAAGATCTTCTCAAATCACGATTCCAGGAATGGATGCGCAACGAAAAGGAGGTTCTTGGTCGCATCTGGCGCGTTTTCCATATCCAAGACGTCAAGAAGAAGAACAGCAAAGACAATCTGCCGAGCCACAGACTGGTACTTTTCGCTGTTGATGGACCCCGTTTGCAGAAGATCAGCATTAAAGAAGTCCTTGATTGGGCCATCCCACTGGCCAAGAATGGTGATCAGGGGTTCTGCAAAGCTTACGCTCGTTTGGATCTGTTCCTCTCCCAGACAATCCCAACAGTCAACTTCAACAACAGAGAGGTCAGGTATGTTAAGGACACCTTGGCTGATGGCGCACTCGAAAGCGACGAGTTCAACGACCGCCGTATGAAGTTCGAGTACCGCTCTGGCCCGTCCAACGAGAAAGCTGTCATGAACGATGGCTGCTCGTTAATATCGGTCGGTGCGGCAAAAGAGTTGTGCGAGATTCTTGGAATCAAGGGTGTTCGTCCTGTTGCCTTCCAAGGACGTATCAATGGCTGCAAAGGTGTTTGGATGATCAGTGCACCTTATGATACGACGGAGACGAAGCACCTCAGAAGATGGATTCAAATGACAGAGAGTCAGCGCAAAGTCATGCCGAGAGACGAGGACTTTACAAACAGTTGCGAGCCTGATCGCTGGTCATTCGAACTTGTCAAATACACAAGTTCACCGAAACCTTCGACACTGAACTTGGACTTCATATCCATCCTGCAGAACCGCCACGTTTCTCGCGATACACTGCGACAAGTCATCGAGAGTCAACTGAATATGGACTTTTCTGCCTTCTTCGAATCTCTTAATGATCCAATCAGCTTGCGTCGCTGGGTACATTCTGAATTCGGTGGTATGGAGGAGCTTAATCGCAAACTTGGCATTAGAGAAGCCGGCAACTTCCCTTCTGATTGGGTAGAGAAGACCATTATGTTGCTCGAGTCTGGCTTCAATCCTCTGACAAATCAATATCTCGCCATGTGTATACAGCAAGTCGTCAAGCTATGGCTTTCCTCTGTACGCTCCAAGCTCAAGATTCATCTCGGCAAGTCTGCCATGGCTCTAGGTGTGGCTGATCCGACAGGGTGCTTGAAGCCTGGCGAGGTTCATATGGCTTTCTCAGAGACCTTCCGAGATGAGGTTTCTGGCGAAGTCTGGTCACATCTCAAAGGACACGTGCTAGTCGCAAGACATCCTTCTCTTCGATGCTCTGACATCCAGAAGGTCAGAGCTGTTTATAAGGAAGAGCTCAGTCATCTCACCGATGTTGTAGTCTTTCCATCAAAAGGATGTGTACCACTGGCGCATAAGCTACAGGGTGGCGACTATGATGGTGACACCTTCTGGCTGTGCTGGGATCCGAGATTGACAACAGCTTTCAGAAACGCACCTGCGCCACTTGAGGAACCAAAACTGGAGTACTATGGTATTGAGAAGGAAACACGCAAATTGAGGGATGTTCTTGGACAAGACAACAATGTCGATACATGGCTGTCTGAGGCTTTCAAGTTCAAGCTACAAGAGGATCTGCTCGGCAAAGCTACCAAAATGCACGGCAAGCTTGCCTACAAGGAAAACTCCATCTCTTCAAAGAAAGTTGAGGACTTGGCTGGCTTGCATGATCTGGTCATCGACTCTGCGAAGAACGGGTATACACTCACATTGAGCGCTTTCAACGAGTTTGTCAAGAAGAAACTTGGAATTAAAGGAGCCTTGTACAAGCCGGCGTACGAGTCATGGATAGAGCCGACAACCGACACCACAATTGGTCGCTTGGAGCCCAACCTCAAACACATCATCGATTACCTTCTCTTCGAAGTTGTCAACCCTCGTATTGAGCAACTCACCAAGGATTGCCAGGAAAAGCTAGCGGATGCAGAAAGCTATGATGAAGACTTGATCAAGCCTTATCAAGACCGACAAGCTGATATCGATCCCATCATTGTTGATGTGCTCAGACGTATGAATGCCGATCTGGCGAAGGTCAACTTTATCGGCACCTCGGCAGAGAAGATGATGAAAGATCTGTATGATCTACAGGCCAACCGTGTCCTCGAAGCATATACAGCAGTGCAGCCCATTCACACTGAAGATCGCGTCGTCAAGGAATGGCTGAAACGGACAACCGTAAACTCGCCCAACACCTGGGAACTGCTCAAAGCCTCTGCGTTCTACTTGGACAAGCACAAACACCGATTGACACTTGCTTTCTTGGTAGCTGGAAAAGAGCTTTGCTATATTAAGGCTATGGCTAGACCTGGTAGCAGAGTCACTGTTGGAGATCTGTATGCGACGTACAAGCCAAAGAAAGAGAAAAAGGCCATCAACAAGCGTCAAGTCCCGCTGCCCATTACTGAGTCGTCGGAGTCGAGTGAAGAGGAGTTCTTTGATGCGCCTGGGTGAGGTGGAGATCAGTCTGGATAGATGGAGATCACACCAAGAAAAAGGTGGCCGGGTGTGCTTTGTGGATAGTGGATACATGAATAGAAATGATAGCATGACTTATGACACTTTTGATATCTACTGACTCGAGGATAATACGTCCGTAGAGGCTCTGGGAGGATTCTCAATGACGTCAATTTACCACTTACCACTTCTTCCAAGAAGCACTACAGTGGCACAATGAGCTCACTCCCTTTCATTACCTGCATGACTACAGCCAACATCATGTCTGAAATCGATCTCTCGCTCCCGGAAACCGTGCCAGAGATGGCGCGATATGCAGATAGACGCATGACCCTCGACTCCTTTGCAATCTACAACCTCCTCTCCCCCAACCACGAACCCACCGATCTAGTCTCCACCACAAACTTCCTCTGCCCCCGCTCTGACTACGTCTATTTTCGCAAAACACCTGCCATCACCTCTCTCAAAGCCCTCATCGACTACCATCTCAACACAACAGTCACCGACAACTTTGACCCAAACTATTTCCTGGTGGTGACGGATGTAGAGTGGGACAAGAAGGGTGTTTTGATAGTCACCATGTGCGATGAAGATGGAAAGCCAGATGCTTTTGTCATGAAGACGCAAGATTCGGGGATTTTGTTGGTGAATTTGCAGATAGGGAATACAGATTGGTATGAAGCGAGAGAAAGCTATGAGATTGGTGATGACGACGGGGAAGAGGAAGATCAGTCAGGTAANACCCCACCACCCACACCCATCAAAGATTTGCTCCTGGAATTGATTGATACTGATTTGAAAGAAACAAAAGGCACATTTCCCGACGGAGCCTCCAAGAAGAAGCCAGCAACTGGTTTTTACATCGCCTTTTACGCCATCCCTGGTGTTGATCAGGATCAACTCATCCAAGCCGTCGAACCTTGTTACTCCGAGAAGAACCCCGAAGACCGAGTCTGCCGCTTCGAAAACTACCTACGCCCAGACAGAGATCTGGTCTCTCAAGCCATGGATTCTTGGCACCCTCAAGCATGCATGTCCAACCCTTATTTGTGCAAGATGTACATGTTTGTGGTGGATAGTGTGGACTACAAGCAAGATGGGTTGATCCTGTGTGGCATAAAGGAGAAAAAAACCAAGAGAGTGGTTTGCGGCGGGACTGACACGGTACCCGACTTTTGTGATCTTGCTCAAGGCAGACGTGGATGGGATGATGAACAGTGATGGGGCGGGGGGTGTTGTTGGCCTTTTTGCTTTTCAGTATGCCCCCAGTTCTTGCGACTGGGGACATTGGCAAAGGTTTTTGCGATTGGAAAGATTTTGAGCTTTTGAGTTCGGCGTCACCAGTCTTTTGTGATTTCATCGTTTTATTGATGCCGTGGACTGGCGTCGACCATTTTGAGGATGTCAAAACTGTCTTTTGTGTTTCTACTCGATCCTGCACGCGCTATAAGCGCACAATTGCTCTCCAGATTGAAAGACATGATGTGATAGTAGTATGGATTACCTCTGGAGAGCTTTCGGTTTTTCTTCTTTCTACTTGCTTGGACGCTATCAAGGTATGACTATCTAGAAGTAAGGTCGAATAAGAATCGAGAGGTTTCCTTTCCCAAGAGTAAGACTAGGGGTTCTTGCCAAGTGCTAATGGGATAAGCTATTAGACCTGAGTGTTAGTCATCTGGAGAAAGGGAACGGATCAGTGATGAAACAGGATTGCTCTGAGGGTTGAGTCCGGCGTGGGATTTGTTTCCAAGGTCTTGTTCCTCTGAGTCACCATGGTTGGAGCCGGAGCCTGAGTCGAAGTCAGAGACAGAGTTGTCACTATCGGCGTTCAGAACCGACTTGTCATCACCAGCCAGACCCGTAAGCTCGTTCTCAAGGTCTTCGAAGTCGAGGTCGAGCTCGTCGTCATCGAGAAAGTCACCTGTTAGCCACTTGTATGCTTGCAACTTACAGCGTATTGTGAGTTCGCTTTACTGCAGATTCCACAGTGCCTCATGGTGTGCATCGAATGTTGATCCCACGACACAAAGGTTTACTCAAAATCTTCCAAGGCCACTTGGACCTTTCTTTCGCTGAGCGAGTTTCTTGATGTAACGTTGAAAGAGCTTAACGGCCGTCTCAAAGCTTTACATAGTCCAAAAGCCTTGGTGGAAGCGAGAAAGAAGTCACGATTGGTGGCGAGAAGAGTGATGAATCCTCCCGCTGCTCGCAGGTAGACTTGATCTTATCCCTTGTTCGAATTCTTTACGTATCGATAAAGTGATTTGACGCCCACCTCTTTGATTTACTTCTCTCGGAATTTGGAAGGGGTGATTGGTGGATACAACATAAATTGCAGGTTCCTTCTCCATTGCGAGTTCGCTGTAAAAGTCGTTCCTACTTTGACTTTGCTGCTCTGCTTTTCTCGGGCATCAAGATATCCCAAAGCGACTGTAGTGACCTGGGTATAAGAACACTGACGAGATCCTAAGAAAGGGGCATATTCTTGTTTGGTCCATTGACAAAACGTGCAGGGCAAGGAGGATCCTAGGAAATGGAAACTTAGTGATGCTTCTGCAGTTTTGGAGTGGTATTCAAGCAATACCATTTCGGTCCTCCCCTGCTCTCCCACCAGCCCTCATCCCCCCCTTCTCGTTCCCAAAACCCCCTTCACCCAGCAAAACACAAACAAATGGTTTGCAAACACATGACCCCAGCCAACACAATTCTCGTCCCTAGACCTCGTTTCTTTTTCCAAACAAACCATCAAGTCAGTCAAAAGATCTCTCTGCAATCATTTCTTTTTTTTCTCTTTTTTTTTTTTTTTGGATATACACATTTCCATATAGACGCTTGTTTAAGAATAAAAAGATCTGAGAAAAGGGGACAAAGGACAGGAGATGGGGAAAGGGCAAACTTACGCGATTGGGTTTGCTCTGCTTTGGCTTCTTTGACTTTGACTTTGGATTTGCGTCTGCATCTGCGTCTGCATCTGCATCTGCATCTGCGTCTGGATTTTGGTCGCGAGTGATAGGGTGAGGGTGAGTGGTGTAGTAAGGAGTGTGGTGTTGACTGTACAAGTAAAACTGATTAGTCCCACACAAAACCCCATAGATTCCCACGAAAATGGGCAAATGATGATTATTTTTCTTTCGAAAAAAAAACTGACCTATTCATCATGCTCGGGTGATTATACATCTGATTTTGATTATTCGCAACATTTGGCAAAGCATCTGTCGTCGCTGCGACGGGAAATTTTTCAGTCGTGACATCCATCGTCTTGCACAATCGCCGATTTATGCTTTGGTTCTTTGTTTGCTTGCCAATGTACAAGAAACAATAGTCGAGTTGATGCGGATTAGCAAGACAAGGCGCAGGTCTGGCTTTTTTTCTGTTCTTGCCACAAAAGCAAAAAGGAGATGAATAGAGCAAGGTGAAGTTTGCGGTGGTTTTTCCTCTTGTGGAGAGAGAAAGAGAGAGAAGATGCAAGCCTGGGTTAATATATCTTTTAGAGTGGGATTGCCTTACGCGCCCCGATCATGTCGCGAGTCATGGGTCATATAGGCGCGCTTTTTCGAAATGTAAATCTCCAAAGGCGCAGTGCAATGAAGGAGGACAGCAGACACAAGCATGTACAAAAGCCATTCTGTAAATATTCTTGTGACATCAAGAAGGGACCAAGTCGTTATAGAGATTCTATATCTGTGTCATCCCCGTCCTCACTCGATCCCTCCACACTCTTTCTCAACATCTAAATATCCTCCTGACCAGCCTGACTGACAAACCAAACACCAGTGTCGGTGTTATTGGTAGCATTAGTCTGCTTGACTTGCCCAAACTTGAGCGCACCACTCTCAACAATACCTCCAGCAACAGGTCTCTGCAATTTGTTCTGTCCGCTTTTGACCGTAAAATTGGCAAGAGAAATCTCATCAGGGTTACGGTTGACAATGGTAGGCATGCCGAAGAAATTGGCAGTGACTTCGTCGTAGTTGATGTGCAGTTCAAAGTATCCGCGGTAGTAAATGTCGTTCCACTGTAACTCTTGGTTGGCGTGGACGAGCCAGTTGGAAGCATTGTTGGCGGCTGCGAGGGATATGTTTTGGCCGTAAGGGCAAGGAGATGAAACTGCAGAGCCGGCGAACTCGACACCGATGCTGTTGTTGCCGGTGGAGGAGTTGTAGTTTTCGTGGTCGAGCCAGACAAGGTCGGATACCCAAGAGGCGTGAGAGTCGCCGGACATGACAATGTTGTTGCCGATGCCGTTGTTATAGAGGTGGGAAAGGGTGCGGTTGCGGTTAGCTTGGTAACCATCCCAGGCATCGTAGTCGAGAGGGTTGGTGTTGCCATAGGCGGCAGACTCGTTGACGCGCGAGAAGACGGTCTGCGAGCCGATCAGGCGCCATGCAGCGCCACGGTTGGCCGACTGAGTCAATTGGTTGTAGAACCAATTCTCCTGTCTGCTGCCCATCATGCTTCTGCCAGCATCGTTGCTGAGTGCGTGGACATAGTCGGTGTTCCAGTACAGATCGGTGATGGAGCGGTCGTATTGACGAGTATCGAGCATGACCAAGTCGAACAAGCTGCCAATGCTGAAGCTTCTCCAGATACGGAGGTTGTCGTCCATCTCGACCTGGCGGATGGGCATCCACTCAAAGTATGCTCTGACAGCATTCATCTTTCTCTGGTCAACGGAAACACCGCCGTCGCTGATGAAGGACGCCTCGGTGTTGTTGAGCTCAGAAGCACCATCGCGGTATGTGTTGTCCGACACCTCGTGGTCATCCCAGACAGGAATCCAGGGGTAGTTCTGGTGGGAAGCGAGGAGATCGAGATCGGTGCGGTAGGTAGCGAGGCGCTCGCGGTAGTCGTAGAGGGTGGTGATGACGCGCTCGGGCTTGGGAATGCGGTTGATGCTGTAGCCATAGCCGTAGTCGCCATCGCCGGCGTACTCGTAGATGTAGTCACCGAGGTGGATGACGTAGTCGACCGAGTCCTTTCGCACAGGGTTACCGTAGGCGTTGAAGAAGCCGAATGCTGTCGTGTGTTAGTCGTTGTCAAGAGATCAGACAGAAGACGAATGCAACATACGGAAATTGCTGCACGAGTAGACAGCAAGTCCAACCTCGGCAGTGTAGTCATTGGTGTCAGGAGCAGTCTTGGTGCGGCCAAGAGGACTGGTCTTGTTAGAGCCGCAGACGTTGAATTGGTAGTAGTAGCGAGTGAAGGCAGTCAGGTTCTTGGCCTCGACNNCTAGAAGGAAAAGGTCAGCCTATGTTTCGAATCTCTAGCAGATCATCTCTCATACCTTGACGGTATAATCAATGTCGGACGAAGTGTAAACAGTGCCGCTGCTCTCAACATGGGTAAAGTTGGCAGACTTGGAAACCTTGTACTGCACACAGACAGGAGCGGTACTGGCAGTCAAGTTGGCACCATGGCCATACAGAGGAGCAATGCCCGAGACGGTCGAGTTGTCGTTGACATCGTCAAACATGGGAGCAACGCGAGTCCATAGAATGACAGAGTCCGAATACGGGTCTCCAGAAGCAATGCCATGGGTAAAGTTCAGCTGCGAGGCAGAGTACTGGGTACCGGGCACATTGCGCTTGTTGACCTTGTGAAGAGAGATACCGAGACCAGGGTGGTGATCAGAAGGACTGCGGTAGTTCAAGTTCTGGGTCCAGCTCGCAAGAGCGACGGACGACAAGGAAAGCAGAGAGATAACAGAACGCATCGTGACTGCTGACGAAAGCCAATTGAATAGCTCCTACCTTCGAGAAAAGAGTCTACACGACGGGGAACAAAGTCGACTTTGTAACTTTACTCGATCCATGTTGATCAAGGATCTTTCAGTGACATGGTAATGCATGCATGGACCCGCAGCTTGTCGGATATGCCACTGACGATGAGAATCAGGTGGCAAGGCCAATGAGGGCTGGTCTAATTGACATGCTGTAGAGTGTGGCTACCCGGCCTGCCTCTTTCGACCAGGCTTGCGGGAAGGATAGAGAGGTGCTATGGATGGACAAGGTAGAGGCCGAAGGCAGACAAGACGTGCATGTTGATGTTGCCGTGAAACGTGTCGCTCTGACAAACATCATTGGCTGAAATGTCGTTCTTGGCATCTGAAGCTTTCCCCATCGAAGCTTGAGCAAAGACAAAAAGAATAAAAACATGGCGGGGTCTACGAACTCCGAGAGGGTATGAGGATCTTTCACGAGATATACATCTGCCGAGTGGCTGTGCCAGAGAGCAAGCTTCTTCTCTCATTCAACATGGAGCTCCAGGTTCAATCTTCATAGCAACGAGCGGTCCCATTGCGGCAGGCCTTGGATTCCTTCGAAGCCAAAAACAACCTTGATGTAGAAGGTACAAGTTCAAAATGTTACCAGGTGAATAAAACAGACTGAATTCAACAACGGGTTGTAGTCGAGGTAGGAAAGTTGGGTATCATTGTCCGCCTTGCGCCAATTCATTTTCGATCATGTTCTCGTAACTTGTGTCCATCATTCTTCCATCCTGTCCGTTGTATGATTTTGTGCAGCCATGGCAGCAACAATACTCTCCAGCGCCCGGGTCTCTTCTCCACCCATGCGTCTTCCCAACGACTCGGTGTCTGGCGCCGGAGTAGCATCCACACCTTCCCTGTCCAAGGCGCGACGCGTCTGGCTCTCGATATATGCATGTCTTGCTTCTGTGGACTGATCCACGGTGGCTGCCATGTTCTTCGCGGGTAGAGTCGCGAGGTGTGCGCGCAGAGCAGTGACGATTTCTCGCAGAGCGTGGATTTGCGAGTAGACGAAGCTGGTGTTCTGGGCGAGCGAGTTGGCGTGTCGTTCCGAGCCCACTCCTAGAGCTGCGGCCGATGGCGTATTTCTGAGGAAGGAGAAGGACGCAGTCGTGTCTTGTTGTGGCGTGTCTTGGTCGGGCTTGAAGGCGGGTTTGGCAGCCGGCGGAGCTGACATGAGTGGTCGTAGTTGGGCGAGCAAGGCTTCATTCTGTGCGGCCTCTGCTTTCAAGGCTGATTGTAGCTTTTCCGTCTCTTGTACTTTGCGGCGCAGGCGGTTGACGGATTCTGGCGTTGGCGCATTGCCGTCTGCGGAAGAAGGTTGAAGGTTCTGCTCTGTGTCAGCTGTGCTCTGTGTAGCTCAAGGAGAGACGGCGCGCACCTTGTAGTGATCCAGGACTATCCAGTTCTCTAGTCCTTCATCCTCTTTCGCATTCGAGACGGTCAAGAGATTGCGCAGCGTGTAGATTTCGAGCTTGTCAAAGTTCTTGTCGATGGTCGAGTTGAGCAGACTCTCGAGCTTGACAATTCCAGCCTCGATTTCCGTCGTCGCAGCTTCATCCGCTTCGTCGGTCTTGTCGTCTTGTTGGGCGGGCGCGGTTGCGGGAAAGCCGAGCTGTTCCTTGGGCACGTTGAGAAGCGCCGTCTGGACCTCGCCGACTGCTTGGTAGACGAGTTCGTTGACTGTGTTGATGATGTCGTCGAGGAGTGTNNCTGCTGCTCGTCAACAATCGTCCGACCTAGCAATCGCAAAGCGCACACTTACCAGCGGCGTGTATCGGAAGTGCTCCGTCAGCAGCGCGTTCTTGATCTGATCATTCGTCGCCATCGTGTCTTCTCAGACTTGGTCTTGTTGTGTTTGGAGCGTCGCCGGCGCATCCATCAAAGTGTAAACAATCGCTGTTTCCGCCAAGAGCCTCGACTTCCAATTACTTCCTGATTCGGCCTAGTATGCGTCTACCATGCACCTCCTCGACAGGCTTCATCTGGTCTACCACCATCTACCCTACTACTTGTATCTGTGTTCAGCACGAGTAGCACATGATACAGGTCAACGCACTGCGGACAGCAGATTATTGATAGACTAATAGTATAACCAACCACCAATTCACAAAAGTGACCAGATCAGTGACACCACATCTTTCGTACATCGTCTCTGCTTACCTTTGAGCATATATGTTGCAGATACACTTCTGGGGAAGATTTGTGTTGAAGCAGGTGTCATTGACCTGTCTCTCTACTCTACTCACGTTTTTCCTGGTATCCATTGCTGGAATATGATGAGTAGACCGGCCAGTTAAAACTCTGAACTCCCATCGAGCTTTGAAGGCTGTGACTTTGGTAGTAGAAGGCATGGCAAGAGTCGAGGAAGCAATGTCTGTACTCGTAGGCATTTATAGTGTACCGTATGGGTAAGAAACGGCGAGACCTTGTGTTTAAAGGTGAATGAGTATGTTTTGTTTGATATACAAACATAGACCGAGATCCTTGGCATCAGTCTCTGATGGTCTAATTCCACCCAATCTCACACGCCTTCCAAATCCACCCTCACCTTGCTCACAAAGGAGGTGGATTGATATCCAACCCCTCAACTGTCAAACGAAAAGCATCATTCCTACTATAAGATCCCGCAACATCCATATCCAATCTCCNCCTCTCACAATCCTCAAAGTCTGCTTCTGTGCTCAGAAACCCATCTTCTTGTTCCCACAAACTCGGGCACAGAATATCGCCAAGAGGACCAATGATGCAAGAACCTCCTCTACAAACAAAATCATCTTCTTCTGCGATGGTTGCAGAAGGAGTGGATTGGGTATGGGGAGAAGGGTCGGGGAGAACGAGTTCGTTGCCTTCTTCCATGACCACTGATTTCCTGCGGCGCGAGGGTGAGGTAGAGGTGGTGTGGGAAATAGCTTTGGGTTCTGTGTCTACGGCTTTGGGGGCGGAGATCCATGAGGGCAAGTGGCTGCGTCTTACGCATTGATTGGCGCTCAACACAAAGGCTCTGCTCTCTGCTGCCACGGTGCGCATCAGAGGTTCCCAGGTATCTCTCGCGTCTGCCGTGGGTGCCAAGTATAGATTGACATTCTGAGAGTACAAGGAGTATCTCAGCAAAGGCATGTAGTTTTCCCAGCAAATGGCTGCTGCAAGTGTAAGCTGCACGCCGCGGATGGTGGTGGTGACGGCGCGTAGAGAAGATGGTTGGCCTTGTGCCCAGACCAATCGCTCGCTGCCTGTAGGCATGACCTTTCTTCTTTTGCCGATGCAGCCGAGACGAGGACAGACGTAAACGACACCGCAATAGAGTGAACNCCCACTGCGTTCCACGAGCCCAGTAACGACAAACACGCCTGTCTCTCTGGCCACGCGTTCGAGAAACTCTCGTGTGCCATCGCCGCGGTGATCTTTTCCTTTGGCCACTGGCAGATTTCTGTCCACCCAGTCGTCGCCAGCACCTAGTGGAGTATCGCCCAGATCGACGGCGGCGTGGAAGTACTCGAGGAATTGGTCGCGGCCATGGGGAGCGCGGGCGCCGACGCTGGCGCCAAAGTCGCAAGTGCGTGGGTAGCCGCCGAGGTAGGCTTCAGGGAACAGAATCAGGTCGATGGATTGGGAGGCTGCTTTGCGCGTGGTGGTTGCCAAGGAGTCGAGGGTCTGTTGCAGAGTGTCCAGGGTCCTGGATTGGGAGACGGCGAGTTTGAGTTTCTTAGGCATGGTGGCGAGAAGACTGTCAAAGATGACTTTGATACAGAAAACAAGACTCTTGACCTGATATTCAAGTGATTTCTGTAAGAGAAGAAAAGAGCTGTGAGTCAGTTTTGTGAGTCCAAGTTCATCAAGGTTGGTTGCAAAGCGGGGAGAGCTTCCCAAAGGGGCAGGTCTCTGCTGTGCAAACACCGAACCCAAACCCCGAGTGCTGCCAGAAACAAGTCATGGCTGTCAGCGTGTCAATGGCAGGCTCAGCAATGCTAGTAGACGATTGGATGCGCGTGTGTGAAAGTCGTCTTTGTCTTTCTCATTCTACGTGCAATGGCTTCTCGAATTACTGGAATTGCTCTCCATGCTCGTCATAATCATGAATGTCATGCCTATTGTCCTTGTTCCCCTCTGCTCTCTCCTCATTGCTTTACATCTGCTTGGCGGCCTTGGCGAGGTCGGCGAGGGCCTCACGACGCTTGAACTTGGCGTCCTCGATGACACCTGNCACGTGTGTGTCAGCACTAATCTCTAGAACAGACAAGGGGAAGCAGGGCATACCAGCATCGGCGTCAGACGAGAAGTTGGCGGTCCACTGGACGAAAGTGCTGTTCTCGTTCTCGCCAGAGGTGACGGCGTAGCAGCGGATGGTGCTGACGACAGAGGTGTAGCTCAGGGCGGGGTTGGCGGTGATGACCGAGTAGGTGATGTAGTGGTTGAGCGAAGAGTGCTCCTCCTGCTTGACCTCGATGACGGTGCCGTCCTTGAACTGCCACTTGACAATGTCCGTCTCGTCAGAGGTGCCCTTGGAGTGCTCGGCCTTGTCGAGAGCAGACCAGAACTTGTTGAAGTCCTGGAGCTTGATGAAGTGCCAGACGTGAGAGAGAGGGGCTGTGAGGGAGGAAGGTTAGCTGTTGCATCTTGCGACACTTAGTCCTAACAGCGACGCACCCTTGATGACGGTCGACTCGGTGACCGAGGTGCTGGTGGGGATGGCTCCGGACATGTTGATGGTGGTTAGATTTGTGATTGAGTTTTGTGTGTTGGGTGTGACTTGACAGAGGTTTGTTCGAGTTGGTGGAAATTTCTGGACACGAAAAACGCCAGGCAGAGCGGGCAGCTGCGGGGCTGTTTGCTCAGACGTCACCACCCACTACGAACGAAGGAGCTATGACAACAACTTCTTGCACAGGTCTACTCTTGTATATTGTATGCAAATGGCCATCCTGTATATAATCATACGTGCCATCCCTTTTTCTATAGCAATCAAGACACCTCAACCATCCAGATTGCAACTAGTTTTACATGCAAGATAGACATCCTCCTAGTTAAAGACTACAGTCTTGGTTCCGTTGAGGAACACCTTCTCCTCTGACCACCACTTGACAGCAGCAGCCAAAACCTGAGCCTCGACATTGGATCCCTCCTCGACAAGATCCTTGGGAGACATGGCGTGGTTGACACGAGCGATTCTCTGCTCAATAATAGGGCCCTCGTCAAGATCGGCAGTGACAAAGTGGGCAGTGGCACCAGTAATCTTGACACCGCGCTCGTAGGCCTGGTGGTAGGGCTTGGCGCCCTTGAATGAAGGCAAGAAACTGTGGTGGATGTTGATGATTTTGCCAGACATTGCCTCGCAAAGACCAGGAGTCAAGACTTGCATGTAGCGGGCCAGGACGATGAGGTCAATCTTGTTCTCCTTGACGAGGTCCAGAATCTGCTTCTCCTGCTGCAGCTTGGTGTCCTTGTTGACAGGGAGGTGGTGGAAGGGAATGTCGTAGTTCTTGGCAAGAGGCTCAAAGTCGGGGTGGTTGGAGACGATGAGAGGAATTTCGACTTGCAATTGCTTGTTCTTTTGACGGAACAGCAAGTCGTTGAGACAGTGACCAATCTTGGAGACCATGATCAAAACACGAGGCTTGGCAGAGACGGGACGAATGTTGTAGTCCATCTTCATCTGCTGGGCCAGCTCGGTGATCTCAGGCTTCAGGTGTTCAGTGTTTTCGGCATGGCCAAAGTGCACACGCATAAAGAACTTCTCCGACGTAGGATCACTGAATTGTTGCAGGTCAAGAATGTTGAGCTCATGCTTGGCCAACAGTCCGGTGACAGCGTGCACGATACCAGGCTTGTCCGGGCAGGACAGTGTCAGGTAGTGGTCGTTTGCCTTGGATGCCATCTTGGTTGAAGAAAAGGATGCAGACTGATTTGATGTTGACACAATTCCAAAGCGGGTAGGCGTGGTGATCCTCGAGATTATTCCAAAAGGTCTTGCTGTGACTCTGAACAATGAAGCCATTCACGAACTGGATTGATACTGTATGGACTCGCCTCACTCGTGATTATTGGGACTGCCGTGGACGGTGTTTGGAAAATTGTGTGCACGGGCCGAGTTTTGCAGAGACATGATCCGATACTCGGCAGGTGCGATTGATCTGGATTTGGAGAGGCGTTCTCAACACAAGTCTGCAACACGCAGAGCCAATCCCAACACCACAATTAAAACAACAAATCTGGTGGCTTCTCCTCAGCTCATCGCTCAAAATACAACTGCCTTTGCTGCATGCTGGAGTCGCGATAAGGGAGATGCCCGGCCGAACGGGTTCGGTCGACAGCATGTACACGACGACTCTTGCCGTGTCAAGAACCGTGAAGCGATTACTGAGACACATGAAGCCGGACCACTGAGATCTTTCAACGGAAGCGTTTTGTTCAACCACCAACACCTACATCATGAGGCGTGCTCGGAGTACTCCTCCTGCTGGCCACTCCAGCTCTCTCAACATCAGACTCCAGATTTTGATTCAGATTCATGACAAGCTTTCTGCACGTGTGCGGCTGGGCTTCCAACGACATGCCCTGTTCCGGCAATCCTGCAACGGTATACGCCGTTTATTTTCCTATCATGCTATCGAATCTGCAAAGCGGTGCCGAAGGTAGCGTTTGTAATTGCCATTGCTTGAAGAAAGGTATAATATTGACCAGCCACCGCATTCATGAGTGTCTTGCTCGAACAGAACACGATACTTGCGGAATCTGAACAAAAGAAAGCTTGCGGGCCTGGCATCTTTTGTTGGAAAAAGTACGACGAGAACTAATCACTTTCCTTCTTCGTAATGCTTTCTTCTGCCGCTCTTCTCTCTCTGCTCGCTTCTTCGACCTTGCTGGCTCAAGGTCTTCCTGTGAGCGATTCTACAGCACCCATCTCTCGACGCGACAGCGAAACCACACCACCCATCTCTCGACGAGGCAGCGAAGTCGAAACCACAATCTCTAGACGAAACAGCGACATTGCATTGGAACCTCGTCAGGCCTGCGATATTGAAGATGGCGATCCGATCAGAGGTGTCAACCTCGGTGGCTGGCTTGTCCTCGAACCCTGGATGAACTGGGAGCTCGTCGGGAACACTGGTGCTGTTGACCAATGGACATTCGACCAAACCGACAATGCACAGTCGGCACTTCAATCACATTGGGGTTCTTGGTTTACCGAATCCGACATGGCGACAATTGCCTCATGGGGTCTCAATACGTACGTTTTGCTCCAGCTACCCCAAAAAAAAAAGCCGTTGTGACCACCCGTCTCCAAGCCTCATCTCGACCCTGATCAGCCTTGTATACCGATCGCGTACTACAAAGCTTATGACGTCCCTTGCTAACGACTCTGAAACAGTGTGCGCATCCCCATCGGGTACTGGGCCTTCAACAACACTGACAGCCCTTACATCTCCGGCGCAGATGCCTATCTGGAACAAGCCTTGGGCTGGGCCAGGAAGTACAACATCCAAGCACTGATCTGCATGCACGGTCTCCCTGGTTCTCAAAACGGCTTCGACAACTCTGGCCACAAGGGCAATGCCGAATGGGCAGAAAACACTGAAAACCTTGCCGCATCAACCGCAGTCCTCGAAATCATGGCAGCCAAATATGGTGTCGCTGCTTATGCTGATGTCGTCTGGGGTTTGGAATTGGTCAACGAACCCATCGTGTGGGACTATGATTCTGCCCGCAGTGCCCAGCAATGGGCAGTCGACACGGTCAATGCCATGCGCACCCACATCACGAACTCGGACTTGAAACTCATCATGCACGACGCCTTTCTCGGCGCAAAGGCGTGGAGTGCAGTCGCCGAAAACCTCAACTTTGACGCCGACAGCGAGAACTTCGTCTTGGACGTGCATCTCTATCAAAACCAAGGTGGCGATACCAACAACATGGATCAAGACCAACACATTGCCACCGTGTGCGACTACCCAAACACACAATTCGTGCCCGAGTCTGCACACTTGCCCGTCATTGTCGGCGAGTTTAGCGATCAGACCAACATCTGTGTCGACTCTTCCGGCAACGTCACAGCAGGCACCTCTTGCAGCACGTCAGGATGCCAATGCTCAGCACAACTGGATCCTTCGCAGTGGAACTCCTATCTCGTGGCAGCGACCAGAAGATTCATGGAAGCGCAAATGGACGTGTTTGAAGAATACAGCGGTGGCTGGTTCTTGTGGAGTTATCAGGGACCTGGCGCTTGGGGCATGGGTAACTTGCTCAAAGCCGGTGTCATTGGCCCTGATCATATTACCCAGCGCCAATTCCCTGCGCAGTGTAATGGCACAAGCTCGTCTTGAGACCACAGCAAAAGAGTACTTTAATGACCCCTTGAACGAACACCTTTCTTTCTTCATCCATATACCATAGACTCTTTTTTTTCTCCTCGGCTAGAATAGATTATCAAAACCAAGTAATGTTTTTCTACACCCCAACTCCTTTTCATACAACATTTCCACCGTAACGCGAGAAAAGAAATTGTGAAAAGTTTTTCCACATTGTTCTTGAAACGTCTCATCATCCCATCACTAATCACATTTTCCTGTCCATCTTCAAAAGGGAAGCCCCTCAAGATTGAAATAAGTTTTTCTCTCTCTCCGGTCTAATGGAGGAAGTAGAGATATATATCAATATCAAACTGAACCAGAATCTGAGTTTTTTCTTCTTGCGAGAGAAGAAAAAACTAAAAGAGAAAAAACACATGGTCCATTTGGATGAGTTTATGAGATGAGAAAGAAAGGAAACAATGGTAGGGTAGATTAGGAATAGGCCATATCCAAATTCCTCCAAAAGCAAAACCCCCAAGAAGCTGTGAGACATGGAAAGTCATCAAAAGAAACAACAAAACGAAAGAAAAGGCATGAGAAACATGACATGCTGATACAAGAATGAGAAGGGAGCCACCAGCTATTTCAATGCTTGGGCAAATTGCCCATGCGCTCGATATTGCTCATCATCTTGCTCTTGGACGCTATCCCCGACGGTCTAGGCATACCCCTTCCAATCCTACTCTGCACAGGAGCGGGCGCGGACGGTTGCTCTCTGAACGCAGGAACACTCGCATGAGGCGGAGGAGCAGGACGACTGATACTGCGTCTGAAATCTTCGATGGCTGCCGTATTGCCATCGGGAGCCGAAGACTGTAAAAGCAGCATTTCATCAACAGCAGCGACAAGCTCGCCCTTTTCAACACGCTCTTTTTCAAGTTCGCGGATGAGGTCTGCTTGTTCGTTGCGCATGACTTGGAGTTGGCGGTCGAGGTTGGCGAGGTGGGCGCGTTGTTCTTCAATGGTCGAGTTTGCTTCTTCCATGACTCTGCGATCGTCGGCTGTAAACATCATGGATGACTCGACATTGTTGTTTGCAGCAGCTGCGAGTTCTTCGTTGTGCTTGGTGAGCTCGTCGAGCCGGGTTTGGAGTTCGGCACACTTCTTTTCTCCGCGTGCTTCGTAGGACTTTTTCAGGGTTGCGACCTTGGTCTCGTGTTTCTTCTTGTAGACGGCGTGGAGTTCGCGAGACACGGCTTCGACCTTTGCGTCGATTTGTTGTTGAACCAGGTGTTGGATTTGTGCTTCATCGATCATGTTGCCTGAACCATCATTCTTAGGGATCGCAGCACGAGCAGTTGCGAGTTGAGCCTCTAGATCCAGGACTTTGGACTCTGCCTCGTCTGCGCGGGTTTGTTGCTTTTCAGTCAAGCGTTCGCTCTCTTCCGCACGACGGATCAATGATTCCTTCTCTTCGTCACTGCGCATGACTTCCTGTCTGACGTTTTGGAGGAGATGCTCAAACTCGACACCACGTTGTTCCCATTGGTTCTTCTCATGCTCAATCTGCTCGCGCTGGCCCTTCTCTTCTCGGAGGTTCTCCAAAGCCTCCCCGACACGTCTTTCGGCATCTCCTACAGCCTTCTTCAACGAGTCAACTTCGGCTTCTCTGCCAGAGAGGGTGGCCTTGAGAGACGAGATCTGAGACTGGTATTGCGACTTCATGGATTCGAGCTCGCGAACGGTAATGGTAGGAATGGAACGAGGAGTAGGCGCTGGGGGCAGTTCAAAGTCGAGCAGATTGAGCAGACTGGTGGACTTTGCAGGAGTGCTCATCCTGGCGCCCTTGCCGGGCGAGCGTTGTTGGTTGAGGTATGAGAGGAGATTGGGCTCTGTGGAAGATTTTTGAGGAGAGCGACGAGATGGAGTCTGTTGGACATGTCCGCGGTCGGAGGCGTGTGCGAAGCGTTCGATTTGCTGGGTAAAGTCGATGAGGTTGATTGTGTTTGATTGAGCAGTGCCAGGGGTTCTGGGTCTGCGAGGCGTAGGGGAAGGAGATCGTTCGTCGGAGGCTCGTCGTCGGATGGGTCGTGGTGTAGCTTGTTCGCTCTGTGGCGTCTGTTGGATGGATTGCTTGAGGGGGCTTCTGCGGTCGCCCAGCTTTGCAAACATGGTCATGTCAGGGACAGCAGAAAAGGTGCTGAAGCAAGTGTCGTCGACGCCAGTCTCGTCAACATCGTGGATCATGATGGAGTCGTCAATGTTATCAGGGGATGAAGGGTCGCGGCTGTGAGGCAGAGGCGTTGCGGAAGCAAAGTCGATCTGCTTGACGGGCGAGCTGGCCTTGAGGGGAGAGTTGAAGCGCAGAGTCTTTCGAGTCGAAGGTGGTGGCTTTTGCGCAGTGTCTTCTTCGAAGGTGCTGCTGCGTCTCTTCTTGATGGTTGACTTTGGCTTCAGAGGAGACATGGACCTCCTCGAGGGCTCTGGTGTGGTTGCCGTTTTTGGCGTCTTGTGCTCCTTGTCGTCGTTGTGGTGATCAAGAGCGACAGTGTTTTCTTTCTCGCCAATCGAAGACATGGAAAAGGTCGAAGCTTTCTTGTCTTCGGTCTCGAAGAACTGAGTGTCGGACGGGTCTGCTGCGTCTTCGAAGATGGCGTCAACCTCAGGCCCGACTTGGACTTGGGCCAAGTTGTTGCTTGCGGCGCGATTGTCTGCTTCGGCGACAAAGGGCGAGCTTCCAACGTCTTCGTCGTCCCAGTTGATGATGGATTCTTCGTGTGTTTGTTTGGTGGGAGTCGACGTTCTGCAACGAGTGGCAGCAACGCTGTTGGTGGCCATCTTGTCTTCACGCACCGCCGTCGCCGGTGTGCGCGAGTTGAGCTGTTGCGAGTCGAGTGGCGACAAGGGACTTGCCATTGTGTGTATCCGAATACTCGTAGGAGAGAAAGATGTGGTGTGTTTGCGAAAAGGTAAACACAAAGCTTGGGCCATCGACTCCCCACAGCTACCCGCATGGTCAATCATAGCATCCTTGGTGCTTCGACATCTCTTGACCTGTATAGCCGCTTGTCGCAACTCACACTATCATCAGATGCTCGTCGTCTCCTTGAAGAGACATGAAAACATCTCGTAACTACTCGGGACATGTTCAAGTGAGCAAAGACTTGTCCTCGCTGTAGAGTCACAGGCTGTCGCATCCCCCTGCTGAACGCCATAGCTTCGGGAATCTGACCTTGACGCTCCTTGCATCTTTCTCCCAACTATCTCTCTCTGGTCCGAAGAGCTTAATTGAAGACGAACAGCATGTCGTTGACGCTCAGAGGCTCTTACCTCTACTTCCGGGCCTTTTCCGAGCCTGGCGCTTTTCCGGGTATCCGGCCACCTCTGTCGACTGTGGGGATGGCGGGGCTTGGAGGGGAGACAGATAATCACCCTTAGTATCACTCGTTCTCACACTCCTCCCTTCTCTTACTTTCCTTCTTTGTTACAGCCTAATCAGACAGCAACCATGGACCCATCAGAAGTCAACATCCCTCCGCTCAAGGACTTGACCATCGACAACATCACCGAGAATGTACACATGATCAACTCACAATGCGACGACCCGAGAATGAAGTACCTCCTCGAAAGACTGGTTTCTCACGTCCACGACTTTGCTCGCGAGACAAGGCTCAGCACAAACGAGTGGATGGCTGCCATCCAGTTCCTGACCAAGGTCGGCCAGATCAGTAGCGACGTACGCCAGGAGTTCATCTTGCTCTCCGATGTCATTGGTCTCTCCCTCCTCGTCGACAGCATCGACCACCCCAAGCCCGCTGCCAGTACCGAGGGTACTGTGCTAGGTCCCTTCCACACTCACGAAGCCCAACTCGAGGGGAACGGTGGTAGCATTTCACATGACCCCGAAGGCGAGCCCTGTCTAGTCCTCTGTACCGTCAAGGACACGGCTGGAAAGCCAATCGAAAACGTCAAGATCGACATCTGGGAGACGGACAGCAAGGGTTTCTACGACGTCCAGTACGCAGAAAGAGACGGTCCCGACGGCAGAGCGGTCATGAAGAGCGACAATGACGGCGTTTTTTGGTTCAAGGCCATCGTGCCAGTGCCATATCCCATTCCTCACGATGGACCTGTCGGTCAACTTCTCAAGAAGCTGAAGCGTCATCCATATCGCCCCAGCCACATGCATTTCATGTTCGAGAAGCCGGGCTACGACAACCTCATCACGTACGTCACACCATCTGTCTTTTGTCTACAATCAAGCATTACTGACTTTCCATCCCCAGCNGCTCTATATCTACGCGGCGACCCATACGAAACCTCGGATGCCGTCTTTGGCGTCAAAGAATCTTTGCTCATCGATCTGGGAACGGTATCTGCAGAACAAGCCAAAGAGTATGGCGTAAAACAAGGCGGCAGGCTCATCACATACGACTTTGTCCTCGTAACCGACGACGAGTCGCGCAAGCTGCGAGAAGAAAAGGCCATGCAAGCCATGAAGAAGCTGGGCAGGAGGATGAAGCTATACCAGGGTCTACCCGTCCCCGACGTCGATTGAGACGTGGGGCGAAGGGAAAAACAATGTTTTCAAGCAATTGAGTAATCTAATATCACCTCGCACTCTCAACTTTCAATGAAACATTTATATCTTTGAAGATGCAAGTTAACCAGCAGAAAAACACCTCATTTTTGGCTCCCAGATCTTGGGCATGGAGCAGTGAACACGGCTTTTTCTATGTAGAAGGGTGACCTGGTCATCTTTCTCTGCTCTCGGATACATTTTGTATTGCTTGCCAAGGAGTTTTGGCAAACATCTTGATCCGAGGTAACGAGAGGCTGTCCGCTCGTCGCCGTGAAAAACCCGCCTTGTTTTCTGTACAAGTAATATAGCTCTTTGGAAGAGTTTGTGTAAAATCTGGGACTGGGCAGGTTTTTGCGGGCTTCTTATATACCGGGGGTTGACATCTTGTCATGATAATTGAGATGTTTTTTCCTCTTACTTCTGTGCGAAAAAAGAAAAGAAAAAAAAACAATTCCAATGGTTTGGTTTTGAAGTATATCAGTAGATGCCAGTGCAAGAAATACCATTGGCAGACTCGTCGCCACAAATCATCTAGACATGGAACTTGGTACCTCTGAGAAAGAAACGACATCCACACAGAAGCACACCAAGATCGATCAAAAAGAAGAACAAAAGACAAAGATACTTTGCAAAACATTCAGAGATACTGCAGATCTCATATGTATTTTCAAGTACCCAACTATTCTAGACTAGCGAGGGGAGGGTATATATATCCAGGGTGGTATTACATCCTCTCAGAAAAAACACATCCTTCCACTAATAGTTTTAATACATGTGTAGTAGTGTAGACAAAAGGAAATAATAATAGGGCATTAGAGAAGAAAAAGAAAGGCTTATAGAGCCTTCAATCAGCAACCCCCACCACATGAATAATGATGGGGAGCTATAGAGAAAGAGGTTTGTGTTGTGGTTTTGGCGTCAAGGAGAGTGATGAGTGCCAGACGCATCAAAGATGAAAGCTTTCATATGGCAGCATCAAATTTAGAGGACAAGGGCAGCGACACCGGCAGCCATGGCGGCAAAGCCCATGCCGTTCTTGACGGCGGCGCCAGTGTAGGCGACCATGGATGAAGTGGGAGTGTACTGCACAATGGTGGTCGAAGGCTTCTTGGTGGAGCCAGGGACGACGGTGGCAGGGACAGTCTCGGCGGGCTTGGTGGAGCCGTTCTCAACAACAGCAGGGATGGTCTCGGCAGGCTTGGTCGAGGCGGCAACGGTGGTTCCGGGGACGATGACGGTCTGAGAGCCGGCGGAAGGTGCAGGGGCCTGAGATCCGGGAGCGCCGGGAGCACCAGAGCTGGCGGGGCAGACAGTGGTGTAGAGAGAGACGACGGCAGTGACGGTGGCCTTGCCGCATCCGTTAGCACCGCAAGTGGTGGTAACGTGCTCCTGAGTCTGGTAGACGGTCGAGGTGGTCATGGCACCGGTAGGGCCAGCAAGGACGGGAGCCTGGATGACGGTGGTGGTGACGGGAGTGGGCTTGCCAGCGATGGGAGCACCGTTAGCGCCAGTGGGGCACTGGTAGACNNGCTTGGAGGTTGTTAGCATAATTCTTTTATAAAATCATCAGCGATCGACTTACGTGACAGTGGTGGGAGCGTATTGGCAAGCAGTGCAGACGGTCAAAGTCTGGGTGGAAGCACCTCCGACAGCACCTCCAATGGCACCACCGTTGGCACCAGTGGGGTAGGCCGAGACGGGGCAGACGGTGGTGTAGGCAACGACGACCTCAGTGACGGTGGCAGCAGTGCAAGGAACACCAGGAGCGCAAGATTGGATGGTCTTGGTGGTGGTGCTGTAGACGGTCGAGGTGGTCAGAGGAGTAGTGGTGATGGTGCGGGTGACATCGCCCTCAGTGACGGTCTGGGTAGAGACGACGGGGACGAGAGAAGCAGAAGAGCTGACGCCAGGAGCGGGAGCCTCGTTGACAAGGATGGCAGAGTCAGTGTTGGCATCAGCAACAAGAGCGTCGACGGTGCTGTAGAAAGTGCAGGTGCCCTGCTGGGAGTTGTACGAGGTTCCGACGCAAGTGGCAGTAGCAGAGCAAGTGTCAATGCAGTCAACGATCCAGTCGTTGCCGAAAGTGGCCTGGCGTCTGATCATGCGAGCCTTGCGGGTCAAGAGGATGACACCATCAATGTTAAGACCGCAGCGGATGAGGTACTGAGAACCATCGGTCTCCTGGAGGACCTGGTCGTTGTACTCAGGGCAGATGATGGACTCGACGTTGGGGAAAGTACCGTTGTTGCCAGGGTTGGGCGAGGCGGTCACCGAGGTGCCGTTGTTGGCCTGAGTGGTGGAGGGAAAGGAGCCTTGGTAGAGGAAGTACCGTTGTTGGCAGGAGCAGATGAAGAAGAGTTGCCGCGGCCAGTGACCTGGGCGAAGGTGATACCAGGGGCAGCAGTTCTGGTGTTCTTGTCGAAGCTGCTGTAGAAAGAGCAAGTGGTAGTGTTTGAGTTGAAGGCGGTGGCAGCACAGTCAGTGTTGGCCGAGCAAGTCGAGAGACAGTCGTCCAGAGTCTGGCCGGCTCTCTTGGCGAAGACAATGGCCAAGTCAATCTCGACACCGGTGTAGCTAATGTCGACCTCAACGTAGAAGCTGACACCATTGAAGGTGGTGGGGTATCTGGTAGAGGTGGAAGAAGGGCTGGATCCAGTGCTGGTAGCAGTGCCGTTGGCAGACGAGCCTTGAGAAACACCGGCACCAGCAGTGCTGCTGGGAGTGCCGCTGGTGGTGATGCCAGTACCGAGAGGCACGGAACGGCTAGATGAGGAGCTGGAGGTCGACAGCTGGGTGGAGCTGGAAGAGCTGTTGGTGAAAGCCTCTGCACGGCGGTATGCCACGTTGGCAGAGGCGAGGCTCGAAAGCGACAGAGCAGCGACGGCTGCGGAGATGAAGGAAGGCATTATTGTTGTGGTCGTATGGTGTTATTAGTCCGGGTATTAAGTATACAAACACAAGAGTCCCCCTGAACGAAAGTGGGTGATTGTCGATGAGCGAAAGTGATCGTGGATGAAGAAGAGAAGTCCTAGGTGGCTGCTGTAGGCTGGTTATATACAAGACGCTGGTCGTCAGTTGCACCGGGAAGAAGGTTTGCGGTTTTGCCCAACCTCTCAAGAAAACTGGGTTGTTTCCCTTGGAGACTGTTGACTTACCGTTGGCATTGTGGTTGCTAAAGATGGAGACCGTTGCCAAATCGATAAATTTCTACGACGACGTTGCAGCTTTCAGATTGAGACGGGCAAAACATACGCAACCCTATACCCGCCATCACACAATTTCGCTGCGCCGCAAGATGACTGTTTGAAAGGGGCGCAACGATAAACAGAAACGCAAGGCGCAAGAGGAGTCTATTCTGTACATGTCAAAAACTTTATCATGTGGTATAGAAGACGTACAGCACGAGGTGAAGTTCAGAGAAGCACGCAAACCCTGCAGCAGCTCGTGGCAGATCTCCCGACGCCCGCCCTGTCAACCCAGCCATGCCTGAAAGCTTGGCAAAGACCGTTATTATATTGTTTCTTGACATGGGCCCTCCATCCTCCGATCTCTCGTACCACGGCAAGGAACGAGCAAAATCACATGTCGATCCTCAGATTACTGCGTCATTACGGCAGGAACGAACCTGCAGATCCCCAACTATTGGTTCCTGCTCCATCGTTGCAATTCTTTGCCTCTTGTCCCGCTGCAGGAACAAAAGACACTACTGTACGGGCGTAGGATGCTGCTCCGCTTGTCCCGTTGCTTGCTGCGGGAATGCTCGTCCTATCGCAAGCAGTTGAGTAAGACAATGACGCTCTGTATCATGCACTTTCTGCTGAGTCGAGTTAATGATCGAGCAGGATCATCTTGTTGAGCCATCTTGATACACTATTCCTGTTTGTATTGGGTCTATTCTTGTGTCCCTCGTCCTCGTGAGAGTGGTCGATCTCCACATGGAAGTCTGAGCCTTTGGTGCAAGGTACGAGAAACCTGTCCATAGTCGCAAGCTGAGTCGCGGAGCTTGGTGTTGTTATCGCTTGAATCACATTCCATCAACCAATGGCGGCATCGAAAATGGTGTACATGCCAGAATTTGCCAATCCACCTTCAGACTGTTGTGGTGTAGCTTTGCCGTGCAACCACATACGATGGTAATCCACACCAAGCAGGCTCCACCCCAGCATCTCGAAAAGTCTCACAGCATGAGGATTGCCATCCCAGATTTCCGCCGTTAGAGTATAGGTTGCCGAGTCTGCTATTCTGGGTTGCGATGTTGCCGATGTGGTTGAGGCATTTTCGATCCTTCCCATCGTGTGCTCCATTGCAGCAAGGATGATCCTGCGTGCCGATTCTTGATCTGCTGCATACACCGGTCCTAAGCGATATCCTTGTGGTACCTGACGCACAACCGTCCAAGTACGGATATCTTCCTCCTTGCTGGCACCTTCTCCATTGATCAGGGCAAACCCGAACAAGTCAGATCTGCTGAAAAACTCTTCAGTCCAAAGCTGTTTGCGTTCGAATCCTGTGTGATCGAGATCGCTCTTTGCCAGAAGATGGTGTGGAACACTCTTGATGTCGACGAGTCGCAACCTCGTATCCTGGTCATATGATGTGGTATGCTGAATATTGGTCGAGATATTCCAAGACATACAGCGAAGTTTGCCGAGCGGAGATTCAACAAAACCCCGACGTTCGTAAGTTGTCTTTTGTTCAACTACTGCGTCCAGTCCGATTATGGATGTGTTGTTTTCCTTGAATTCTTGCAACACTGCATCAAAAAGAGCTCTTCCATGTCCTTTTCCTTGGCTGGTAGGCTGTACCACNNTACAGACTTGTTAGCAAGACATCAAGGTGCGGGAGACGTCTTTTATACCAAACAAGGTGACCCACCCAGTCGAGTTGTCATACATGGTTGCCATGCAATGCCCCACAGGCTCGTCAGATCCTTTAGGAACTGCAACAAGCAGACCTCGAGATCTTGATGCTGATATGTATGATTCGAGATCATGATATGAGCGATTNNCTGGAGGTAATGGACAGTTAGACTCTTTCTTTTTCTTGCTGAACAAGAACAGGAAGATGATCACCCAGTTTAGAGATGTCATTAACGGCCACCATAGATCCGTCGCTTCCTTGAGGTCTCTCGCTGGTCGCACGACGACATCTTCATGAGTATTGGAGCTCATTGTGTTGAATCTTTGTTGCTGTATTCAGGACGATTGGTGAAGCATCGCATGACTGAGGATTCTGTGAGAAAGTCATTCAGCTTCACGTGCACAAGTGCAAGTTGTCCAGTTGAATCAGCCCCACTTTGATCGGCATTGTGCATGTATAGTGGATGATGCATGATTCGTGAATGGATGCACATCCCAAGACCAACACTGGACTGCTTGGGTCTGGTAACAAGCTTCACAATTGGGGGATGCAAGGATTAGAGCTCAGTCTATCCACTCGACACCTGCCTCGATGAAGCCTTGCTTCAGACGTTCAACACGATCTTTTCGTTCTTTGATCAGAGTCTCGTGCTGATCCTCGGGGTAGTGATCCATATCGAATTCCCTGAGATCAAGGACACTGAGCTGTATCTCCTGGAGGTGTGGGAACTTGACCTGAACTTTGGCTAACATGCCTTCCAAATAGGGTACGAGTGTCAAAGTACACATATCAATTGTGAGACTCTCAAGACTGCCCGGCAACATCTCATCGAAGGGCAGTGCAGGCACAACTAGGTTGATATCGTCAATCATGTTCTCAAACCCAAGGAGAGTGGTTTGTAGAACATCAAGCTTCTTGAGCGAGGTAAAATGTCGAAGCGAGCCAATCGAAACACAGGTTCCCTCTGAGGCGGTGCTGTCCTCTGTCGCTAACTGAGACCTGATGTCGGCATTCAACGTGAGCTCTTCGAGAGTGTGACGGCTGCTGCTCAAAGCCTCTCCGACAGTATTCCAAGAGAAGTCCGGAACGAACGATTGTTCTAGCTGGAAGTCGCAGTCGAACGCCTCCAATTTGGTACAAAGTTTGAGAATCCGCATCAGCTTCAATGGGTCGATATACGTGCCGCCGAGTGTCAGTTCATTGAGATATATTTCTTGTTCGTCGATCGGACAACTTTCAGAACGTGTACGGTAGTAGCCGCAGCCGTCTCCATCATTGTAGAAAGTTTTCATCTTCGCCAGGCTGATAAAGGGCAAGAAGGGATCAATCTCATAGCCAGAATCATAAGGCCGTCGTCTACCAGTCCTCAAGTTCCTCTTGTGTAGCATCACAGACTCCAATCGATGGAAATGTTTTGAGGGATCCCATTCCGCGGAAGTCACGAGCAAGCTTGGCCAGAAGTATGTGGGAGCAGTTTCCGCTTCGAGGTTAAAATGCGGCATGGAGAACTCGATCCGTTCCAGATTGGGAGCGAGGCTCATGAGCAACGCAATCTCAGCGGCTTCTTCACCAGCATCAAGAGCCTTCTTCCAGGAATCACCGAGGACCGACGTTCTGGCGTGTTTGTCGTAAAGACTGTGCAGTTCGAGCGAGAAGTGTACATCACAGACTCGAGCTTTGCAAGCGGCGGACATGCTCTTTGTACCATACTGTAATTTCTTGCTAGTATAGTGATTCCAAGCACCGATATACAACGATCGAATACATTGCAAGAGCTCCGGCCGCCTAAGCACTGTCATGAGAAACTTGCGAAGCGAGTAATGTGCGAGAGGAATCGAGGTAGAGTCAAGCTTCGCATAGCTTCGGTAAAGTAAAGGTTCGGCTACACTTTTCATCCGTCGCGAGACTTTGCATAGCTGAGCAAAGGTGTCCCAATTACTGAGATGATATGCATACTCCTCAGCATTGTTATAGTGGATCAATTCCGGTGTGGTCGCAAGGTCTTGGAGGACCAGATGAAGGATCTCATAAGGCAGCTTGTCGAGCATTTTGTCTTACGTCGACATATGTGCATTTCGTCACAAAATGGCAGAGAGACAAAATCTGGAAGTCGCAGGCATCGTTGCTGTGACAACAGCACGCCAAGCTTTACTTGCAAGCAGTAGCACCCTGGCAATATTCCCCGATGCCATTTTTTTTGCTTTATAAGTCGGGCCTGAATGAGACTTTGACAACAGATCAAACCTAGATCGTTACTCATTCGATCTATGTATGTGATCACGAGCCTTGACGTGTCCAGGAAGTTTCTTGACGATGACTTGCATTCTGTAAAATGCTCATGTGAAAACGGTGCGGATGGATGTCAGGATTCAAGGATGGGGGTCTGAATCTTTGAAAACCGATGTTACGCCCTCTAACCACGCCGCGAGGCAACCGAATGGCTTCACAAAGACCCGACCGTGTAGTTGCATATTCCCAAGCATCTTGAAGCATGAAAATATATGTGTTGCGGCTGCTAAAGACAGTAACATGTTTTAGAGGCTTGCAACCAGGACCACCCTGTCTGTATACCATGACGCAATCGACTCAACGGTCGTGACATTGAAGATTTGTTTGTCATACGCGCGTGTGAAATGCACAATACTGTTTTCATGACATGTATCTATCCTACACGAGTGCTTATTAGAACGCAACCCTCGTTCTCATCTCGCCAATCTTCTTCTCCACTTCTCTGACCGTGCGATCCAAGTCACCAGCAATTCTCTCCTTCTTGTCTCTGCTCAGCAAGAAGTATCTTTCGCAGAGATCGCCATCGATGCATCCCTTGACGGGAATGTAGTAACTTCTGTACATGAGATGATCACGTCCGCAGATCGGTGAGTCCTCGGTGCGCAAATGTTGTTCCAAGCTGCCGAAGAAGTCTACATCCTCTCTGTCCATAAAGGGCACAAAGATGCCCAGTGTGCCTTGCAGACCGGCCCAGAAGATGACTTCTTGGCCACCAGGAACCAGTGTCGTCTTTTGCATCGACATGGGGATATCCTGTACGAAGTCGTGAAATTGGAGTGCGAGACGGTGAGGTGTACCGCCGAGGTATGCCTTCTCGTTGGCGAGGAAGGATGCGGCACCAGGTTCGTCCGCTTCGTCCGACGCCGACTTCGGGCAACGCACAGCCCAAACGTTTCCAAACTTGTCTCCTCCCGCCACAGTATCGTAGTCGAGCATGGTGAAGCAGGTAGTCCAGCGAGCGATGACGTCGTCAGCGAAAGGTGTGAGCTTGTTGTCCTTGTGGTTGTATACAACGTAGGAGACGGATTCTTGCACGTCTCCAACGACAATACGTGAGCCTTGCGTCTTCATACCGATGATCTGAGTGCCAGGTACACGACAGCGGGCCTTGCGCAACAAAGCCTTCATACCGAGATCGTAGAGGAAGACTTCGTTGCCAACAGCGAGCGCAAGACGACCCTGGAAGGGCATCAACGCACGGATCGGCTTGTCAAAATCGGTCTTGTGGATCAGCTCAAGCTCATTGCCAGGATCCAACACTCGGTAGACATGTACTGAGCCAGTAGACTTGGGCGAACTTGGTGTTGGTGCTCCAGAGGGAATGTTCTTGCCGGTGCCGACCAGTAGGAAAGTTTCGCCGTCTTGATTCTCGAATGGTACCATATCACAGCATAACGCAGCCTCGTTTGAATCCAGATCGACCGTGTATGCAACACCATCCTTCTCATCCTCAGCCGTTGGATCGACAACCTGAATGCACGATGCCCAGCCAGGACCTCGTGGCCAGCCAAACTGCTCGCTGGGACCCATTTGTTTCTTTTCTTCTTCCGATCTCGTCGGATCAGCAAGTAGCGTCTCTCTGGCCTGTTTGCTGAGTACGTTTTGATCTGACTGGATGACGGAGAAGTAGCGGTATTCTGGATGTCTACAGAAATCGCGAGGAGTGTGTTTGAGCGCGATAGATTTTGTGAGAATATTGTTGGAGGTATCTCCGATGCTGAAGACGAAAATCTCAGCTCCACGTAGTGCGACGATTGATTGTCTGACAGAAGTTTGTCCCTTGCGACCAGCGACCTTGGACCTCAGCATGCTTGCGCAGTTGAATGAGTGGTAGTCGAGAGGAGTGAGCAATAGCTCCTTGGTTTCGGGATGAGGATAGGAAAGGAAGGTCTTGGCGCCGCAAGCAAGCACAGCAGGACTGTCATTAACAGCGACTGGATAGAGCTTGGCCTCGTCAGCACCAAGGAAACGTGATCGCACATCGCCGAGTTCGCCAGTGACATCGTCTAAGACAGCACGAAGGTAGAGACCAGAGAACAGACCAACGTGGACAAATGTTGTCATGCCTGTTGAGTCTTCCATAGGAAGAATCTCGATGGAACGAGGAGGTGATGTGAGGGACTGGATGGATTGAGATTTGAGCATCTCGCCACCAGGGTCAAGAGAGTAGACACGAATGGTCGAGTCATCGCATCCGACGACAAGGAAGGGCGCTCTTACACGACCCTCTGGAACATCTCCCATGCTCATGGCTTGGATAACGCCTGATACAGTCAAGACATCGGCGCCCTGCTCATACTCCTGAATCCTTCTACCGTCTTGTGACACCTCGAAATAGAGCAGCTCGCCAGAGCTGAGCGCCAGACACAACTGTTGGTGGTTGTTTGTAGCCTTGATGATGGTGCGATGGGCAGGGCACTTCCAGTCTTCTTGCGGGCTGTCAGGACCTGTATAGAAGCGGAAGCCCCTGTCCCAAACCTGCAGAATACCAGTGTCACCCATTAGACCCATGTGGATAGTAGTGACTTCCTTGTGCAGTCCGTGGTCAGACACTTCGTGAGTGTTCTCGCCGACCTCTAGGAAGAGTGTGGCATCGCGGAAACCAAGTACAATGTATTTGTCTGCCTCTGAGAAGCGATCGTCCGAAACCACCCAAAGATTGTTAGGCTGATCGGGCAGTTCGGCACGTGTCTGTTCGCTGACACTCAGACCGTGGCTGACAACCTTGAAAGAGCTGCGAGTACCAGTTCCTGCTGTGGTATAGATTTTCCAATCATCTCCACCCGTAATGTCTTGCACCACAGTCTTGCGCTGCGGATTCATACTGGCGACGGTCGCTGATTGGTCTACATTGTCATAGTCGTGAGGGAAGAATGTTGAGACCTCCTGGGATGTGCTGTCTGTGAGAGGGTCAATATTCATGCCGAGGTTGAGGAAGCGGTAGAAGTGGCTGTCGCCGTTTTCAGCTGCGACGAAGAGGTAACCAGACTTCAAGATACACATGGTCGAGGCAATAGGGAAGGTATCAAAGTAGCGAAGCTCAATGCTTGCGACCTCGCCAGTCTTGCGACCTTGGTCATCCTCGACCAAATCCATGGTAAGCTTGAACAAGTCGCCATCCTCAGTCTGCAGCAAGTGGAAGAAGCCAGCCTTGAAACGATGTACGACTCCAGCAACAATGCGCCTCTCGCGATCAGGGTTCTCCAGACCGCCCTTGCGACGAGGAATGACCAGTGTGTGGGGCTCTTGCATGGGGTGTCTATATGTGATCTTTCCCAGAGAACAAACGACGACACCACTGGGACCATCGGCACCACCAGGGACAGGGAACAGCTTGTTGGCAGAGTAATCGACGGCATCGGCCCACTCGCGGACAACGTGATTCAAGCCGAGATCGACACGGTAGTAGACGAGGAGCTTCTCGCGGATGTCGTATGATTCGTTTGTCGGGTCTTGATCGCTGTCTGTATAGTCGACCTCGAGAGCGGCAAAGACGGGGTTCTGGAAGTTTGTGTCGACGGGGCAGATGTCGAAGGTCAAGGTCTGGGGACGGTTGACTTCTTGTGGCGAGGAAATGGTGACTTGCTGCTCCGAGTTGCGGTTTAGAATGTAGACGACCTTGTTCTTCTCGACCGAAGCGAACATGCAGCATCGACCGCGCGGGTCTGAGGCGAGGTATTGGCCGGGGATGGTGCGACGGATGCCCGACTTGCCGAAAGTCTCGAGATGGACGCGCTCGAAGCGGTTCTTCTCATCGTCGTACTGGAGGAGCGAGACACGGCCAGAATCCGAGGAGACGATGATCAGGTCGCGAGGAGTACCGGGGACTCTGCAGGACGATAGATTGCGCAGGATGCCGAAAGCGTTGTGTGTGAGGATGGTACGAACGTGGTCCGTGTCCTTGTCAATGGTCAACAGACTCAGTCTTTCACCCTGAGCCAGGACGACTTGCTGCTCTTTCGGCCTGCTGGCGACAAAGTTGCCGACAATGGCGTGGGTGATGACTCCAGCGGGTTGCAGGGTGAGCGAGTACATGCTCATGTTGGATGTGATGGACATGATGGGCGATGGGTGGTGAGCGACCCTTGAGGGCGCTCTAAAGATCTAGAGAGAGCACTGTATATAATCGTCGAATCGTCAAGGTGGTGGAGAAGCGCGCGAGCTGATCCTGTAGGTCGCGTTGATAGTTGGAAGCCTGGATATGATGCGCAGTTGCAGGAAGAAGTATCCAGGAAGCAAGCGACGGCGGTAGCGCAGAGAATAGGCGCCTCTTCAAGAGAGCTGGGAGCTGTGGATTGGTATAGTGGCACAAGTGGATGCTTTCCATAAAAGTCGCTGGCCGCAATTGCACCAACGCCAGAGCCAAGACATCCAAAAGTCGGAAGCTCGGACGTTTTGATGATGCGCTCGAAAGATGGAAGTTGCGTGACCGACGAAACAAGAAGGAACGACTCTCTCAGGACAATCACACAGACATGGCTGCCTTGTCGTCGACCACCTCAGCGTGCAGGCAATGTCTTGGGCGCATCGCTCTCCCGCGCTCGAGGCCGTCCGCCCGCCTCTTCTCAGCATCCACATCGGCACAACCGGCCCTGTCGTCGGCGAAGAGAATCACAAGAAGCAGAAGGCGCCTGTCGACGAGCGCTCCCAGACCTCAGATTGCCCAGTTGAGCCGTGACTCGCCTCAAATCCAACACCGCCCTGAAGACGCCGCCCAGGACCGAAGCCGTGAGCTTCTGCAACCCGAAAACCTGTTCCACTCCTTCACCGACTCGCCCTCTCCCGTCATTCGCAAGCGCGCCGCCTTCATCAAGCAAAATGCCTACTGCCCGCATCCCGACCACTCGGCCACCCGCCAGCCCACCAGCCCCGATGACATTGAGGTCAGAAAGACAGGCACCATGCCTCCCGCACATGTCCGCTACGAATGTCCGGATTGTGGCATCCCTGTAGCCTGCTGCGAAGACCATCTGGCAGACGACTACGAGGCTCATCTGGCCATTTGCGATACCCTCCGCGAGATCAACGAGGACGACCACGACCTTGTCTCTGGACGCTTCTTCCCCGAGTTCGAATACCCCGGCCCGCAGCTCGATGAAGCCCAGGTCAACTTGACCAACTGGGACACCATGCTGTACTCGCGCGAGTTCAACGCCATCAACGACGAGCGCAGTCTTCGCCAAGCCACTCGTCTACTCACATACCCTGCCACTGTCGCTAGTGTGCTCCATGAACTGAGTCCTTACAACGTACGCAACCGCCTCACCCCAGAGGGTCTCAAGAGTTTGACTGCCCTCCAATACACGCTGCACCCTCCTCGTTCCGGTGCTGGCGCCGGCATCAAGGGCCTGCGTCCCACAGCGCCCCCAGTCCGCTTATTCTGTATCGGCGCACGCGCAGAATCGTCCTTGCCGCGTGAGGTATGGCAGCAACTGGCCTGGCTCTTCCCCCGCTCTACCTTCCACCTGATCTTTATCGGTCCGGAAAGTATGGCCAACCGAGACGACGAATACCCTCTTCCTCCCCGCACTCCTCAGAATCCCTTTGGCGCCATTGTCGAAGACCGCATCAGCTCGCAATTAAAAGTCACCACTTACGTCGAGTACTTCCACACCTTGCACAACGCCCAAGCCTTTTACCCATATGACCCCTACTTCGACGCCTTTGTTCTGTTCCATCCTGGTCTAGGCCACCCTGCCAGCTCTCACGAATGGCAAGACACTATCCGCCCGCTATTGGACACTAAGGTGCCTATCATTGCCACGGGATACACAGACTACGATATGAAGCGCGACATCGAGTGGGTGCGCAACACCGTTGGCGACGAGATGGATATTCTGCTCCAGCCGGGCGAGAACCGTTTCCGCAGTCTTCGCTGGGACCTCAACGACCTCGACCCTCAAGACGTCAGCGCCGGCAACTGGGGTGTCTGGGCTTTTAGAGGCAAGAGATACGAGACCCAAATGCGCGACTCGTAAAAAAAAGCTAGAGCAGGCAAAATTGTGTATAACATCAACTTCTGTATATGACTGTATTTTTACGTTTGACAGGGAAAGAACCACTTTTCTTTTTTCCTTCTTCTCACCATCCCTGTACCGATCAAAGTACTATTCACCTTGTTCTTCGGCTGTGCTGGAAGGGAGGAGCGCCACTGACAAAGATGCTGTCCTCTCCTTCGATCTCGACATGCTGTTTGATCAAAAACAGCGCCAGGCGAGACCAATTTACTAGATTGTTTAGTACTGGCGGCGGCGTGCCGGCCCGTCGAACGTTTGGATTTCTCCTGCTTCTTGCTTCCTCCTTGGCCCTCTAGCATGACTTGCAGATGAGGGGCAAGCGAGGAACCATGGCCATAACTTGCACGCGAGATTGAACAGCTGACGGTGACAGCATCGACTGTCATACCAAAGCCGAATAGGCAGAAGTTGGAGCGGTATTCGATGGGCCAGTCCGGATGAGTGGCATATGAAACAGAATTCCCCAGAAATCTATACAGGGCCAAGGACGATGTGCTTGTGTTTCAGCCCCATATAAGATTGCGCCACTCCCGCTGCTCGCTTGCAGAAACACAGAACCACGCATCGGTGCTTCGACCCTCGAGTGGAACCGACCACTCTCCTGCAGGTGCTTCCTGTCATTTTGGGCTTTTGCCTCTGCCATGGGTGCTGGGGCATTGCCACGGATGCTGGTGCTTTGAGCCCCAATGCACAGCTACCACTACGAGGTCTTTCCTAACTCAAGCAATCACGGCTTGCGTCAAGCCCTCGACAAATTCATCTCGACTCACTTTTCCGAGACACATTGCACCATCTAAGGCGTTTCAATTCTTCCACGCGATACCATGCTCGTCAGGATCCACGACAAGGACCAAATTTTTACCGCCAAAAGGCTTGTCTGGTCTCTACCACAATTTAGGCTTCTAGGGCTTTAGCCTGTGCTGCTGCACAGTAGTCTTCCATCACCCCTCTCTAGATCTTAGCGTTGCTCTGTTAATGTATTCCAGACAATCGACCCATGTTTCATGAGTTTGTAGTCGCCATGTCCAGCCGAAGCATCCACTTTCGTAGCAGCAAGCATTCTTATATAATGTCTTAGGTCTGTCTTGCTTCTTTCCTGTTCGATCAACCTGTCCTTCATTCGTTCTTCTCACCTTTCTTTCACAACCCTAGCGTGCCATTCTTTTCTCGCTATTTCCATTCTATATCAAGATGAAGTACTCCACTTTCGTCGTCGCCGCGGCAGCCGGTTCTGCCGCAGCTGCTTCTGCTCCTGCTTACGGCCAATGTGGTGGTAACGGATGGACTGGTGCCGTCGACTGTGTCGCTGGCTACCACTGTGCTGCCCAGAACGATTGGTACTCCCAGTGCGTTCCTGGTGCCGGCTCTGGCTCCAGCGCCCCTGCAACCACCAAGGTCGTGACTTCGTCCAAGCCCGCTGCCACTTCTCAGGCTCCTACCAAAGCCCCTGTCTCCACCAGCAATGCTGCCGCTTCTACTGGCAAGGTCAAGGTATGTTTCTCGAAACTCCATGCCGCAGGAATGTCGTACTGATGTTCTCAATAGTACGCTGGTGTTAACATTGCTGGTTTCGACTTTGGGATGGACACCAACGGTGCCTCCACTGGCTCCTACGTCGATCCCGGAACCACTGGCCAAAACCAGATGAACCACTTCGTCAAGGACGATAAGCTCAACGCTTTCCGTCTCCCCGTTGGCTGGCAATACCTTGTCAACAACCAGCTCGGTGGCAACCTTGACAGCACCTTCTTCGCCAAGTACGACCAGCAGATGACCTACTGCTTGAACTCTGGCGCTGCCCTCTGCATCCTTGACCTCCACAACTACGCTCGCTGGAACGGTCAGATTGTTGGCAGCAGCGGCGGTCCCACCAACGCCCAGTTCGCCTCCATCTGGAGCCAGTTGGCCACTAAGGTAAAGATAAAATCTCCTAGCTTGAAGCCTCTTGGACATCATACTAATGATTTTAACAGNTACGCCTCCAAGCCCAAGGTCGCTTTCGGCCTCATGAACGAGCCCCACGATCTCCAGGACATTAACGCCTGGGCCACCACCATCCAGGCCGCCGTCACTGCCATCCGCAAGGCCGGCGCCACCCAGAACATGATTCTGCTTCCCGGTAACGACTGTAAGTCTACTATGTATACCATGCCAAGCTTTTCCAACATGCTAATTCCTTTTTCACANGGGACCCACGCCAGCAACTTTGTCGACAACGGCTCGGCCGCCGCCCTCAACAAGATCACCAACCTCGACGGCAGCAAGAGCAACCTCGTCTTCGACGTCCACCAGTACTCGGACTCTGACAACAGCGGCACTCACAACACGTGCGTTTCTTCTTCGTCCAACATTGCCGGCTTCAGCAAGCTCGCCTCGTGGCTCCGCACCAACAGCCGTCAAGCCATCCTCACCGAGACCGGCGGCTCCAACGACCAGAGCTGTCTCACTGCCGTTTGCGATATCCTCAACTACCTCATGACCAACTCTGACGTTTACCTTGGCTGGACTGGTTGGTCGGCTGGTATGTTCGCTACCGATTACGTGCTTTCCGAGGTTCCCACTGGTAGCGCTGGATCGTACAAGGATCAGGCTATTGTTAGCAAGTGCATTGCTGGTGTCTTCAACTCCAAATAAGTGTACACCTGCTTTTTGAAGAATTTTGTTGGTGGGATGAACGGGGTGTCGTTTTGAAGCAGAAGGCTTGTTGATATTTTTTTCGTGTGTTGTGCAGGAGATGTGGGTGTTTATTTCTTCTTTCTGTTTTTGCTTGTAACAGAAAGCACATGTTTGAAAATTCTATTCTTTCATGAACCCCCCATGGGTTTTTGGCAGTTTTGATTGGCGATTGCCCACGTGTCAGATTTTTAAGGGTTTTGTGGAATCGTAACCAAAGCGTGAGTGTTTGACGCTGCAGATACGGACTGGTTTTCACTCTACTGCCTCTGGATATTGATCAACTGCCATCGCAATCAAGAAAAGGTAATTCAAATCCTTACTTCCATTTACAAAATACACGACACGTATATAGCTATAGAACTACATAAGATTGTTGACGAACCAGGTGGTGTCTAGGAGAGACCATTTTATATCCACTCTCCATTGACACATTCCCTAATGTTCGAGTTTTTGTTGTGTATTTTCATAGTCGAGTTGTTACTCTACACTGCTATCTAGAAACAACGAGTAAAGGTTACGACAAGGAAAAAAACAGGGGCTATAACAAACAAGAGAATGCAAGCCTCCCTGTATACACACGTATGCAACACATGTGACTATAAAGATACACAATGATGTCAAAAGACAGAAAAGCACTCACTAAGAAGCAAATTCTTCTTAACTCGACTTGGCTATGATCGATATTCTGTAGACAACCGTGTGTGTTTACAGTCATCACGTAACTCCATGTAAATACTTTGGGTGGGAAAAAGTAGTGCAGGGTCACAACCCAGAAAAGAAGAACAAGCTGCTATAGAGAAAAAGGGGAAATTGAAATGCGTATACTCCATATGACGAGGAAAAAAGTTACAGAAAAGACAAAAGAAAAGGGAAAAGGGTGGTGTCGAGTGAGAAGCGAAAAATTCATAGATTCTCTATGCTTATAGCCACACATCGTATACCGATCCTGCCTTTTTATATAGTGTAGACATCTACTCTCTTACTGCTACCAGGAGAGGAGAGTAAGAACTATAGTTAAGATAAATCAAGAGGCTATGGTTTAAACAAAGAGTGGGCCCTCCGGTATGAACGCATGTGACACATATGGCCTAGAGTAATGCAGAAAAGGTGTTGAGAAAACAGACTACAACATGGAAAGAAACCGAGGTCAGTGAGGAAGGGGAAGCGAGGATGAGGGTCCAAAGGAAGACGGAAAGACGAAGGGATGTACACTAGGCAACTGAAGATTGTCGATGGCTTTCTGGTCAATTGCGAAGAACGAGGCTTTATGATCATGCTCTGTACCATTAACGATAGCTCTCAGGTACGAAGACCAGAGAAAACGAATTGCCAATTGAGATTCTTCCATGTATGCAGAAGTTCGTGGCCTATGGGTCATGTAGATGCCGGTAATGTCTCGAGAAGGGATGAGTTATCATTCGTAAAAATACAGAAATGATGACCTTGTTGTGATTGTTCCACTAGAAAATAGGTTAGGGGACAAGGGAAGGGTTGCGGCACAGGATTAACAAAAAGTCTCTTATCCAATTTCTTTGCAATACGCACACATTCCTTTCCCAACCCCTTCATCATGGGACTAGCAGAATGTCTTGATCGTACCCACTTTAGGCTGACGCAGAACCAGAATCTTAGCTTCCAAGCCCATTTTTAACGCATCACCACACCTCTCAACCTTCTTCTCCTGAGCTTTGCGTGTAGCAAAAGCCCTATTACCTCTTTTCCTTCTCCTCTCCAAGCATATTCTTATCCAGAACACCCACACATCTCCTCCCTTTACGCACGCTTACACCCTTTCCACAACAAGGACACAACCACCCCTCATCCAACCCTCTAACATTAGCACCAAAGCCTTGTGCCTTTTGCCTCGCCGTCTTGAAATTCAGTCTCCTTTCTTCACAATTGACTGCACAAGTTTCTGGCTTGGTGGTGAGGATCAAATGACCGCAGTTTAAACGATGAGTCAAAGAGCCGGAAGTGCAGGAAGGCGAGATGTGGACTTTTGAGACGTAAGGGTGAAGAAGAAAGGGAGAGGGTGGGAGGGCTGAGGGAGGGGAGAGGTGGTGGGTGTTTCTCAAGAAGTGTTTCGGAGCGTTTTTGTTGGGGATGGGGGTCTGGTGGTGGTGGTTGGAGAGAGGGAGTCGCGTTTTTCGGTGTCTGCAGCTTCGTGTTGTGATTTTGTGGTGGTGATGGGAGCGCGCGATGGTGTAGAAGTAGGGAGACCAAAATCTACATTGTTTGACTTCGGCGATGTTGGGCCAGAGACACAGATACCAGATCTTGAAGTCAAAGGGAAGGAATTTTTGAAGCTCAAGCCTAATCCTTTTGGCGAAGAGACCGCTTTCTCGAGAACGATGTTCTTAGGCGCATGTGCGGTAAGGCTAGACTTGCGCCTGGGTACTCCAGAGTTCGTAGTAGGCGTTTCATTCTCGCCGTCACTGATTTGGCGTAACAATGGACTAGGTGTCTTTGGCGTACTCCCACATCGAGGCGTCCTCAGATATGCAGGTGCAGGCGGCGGAAGTCCGACATTCTTCCCGTTTCTCCCTGCCGGTTGCGAAGGAGAAGGAGAACAAGACTTCCTAGCCGATGAAGCAAAAATCGGCGCGGGTATATGCGTAATTGAACAGTATTTTCCCGGAGGCGCTACCCACTCTGGTCGCTGAGTTGGTGGAGATTTAGAAATTCGCAACTTTGGAGTTGCGAGTTTCGGTGATAGCGTTGCACTCGAATCACTCGAGCGGCGAGGTGGAGGAGGCGATGAAGATGACTTTGGCGAGTGAGTTGAAGATCGCCTGGTGATGGTGGATTTACACTTCGTCGGTGTAGATTTGCTTTGTCCATCGTGTTCGTGTCTGTTCGTTGGCGGCATTGTGGCTGTCTTTTGCAACTGCATGGTCGTGACTGCGAAAAAAACGAGGCGCAGAGGCTGGTTTTGAGCTTCCGATAAGTCGATGAGATGGAAGAAGCATGGCGAATGCAAAAGAACAAGACATGTGAATGTCTCAGCACATGTCTTGAGCGTCTCTTGTGTTCTTTCGTTGTCGTGTTTATGCTGAAACGCTAGGGTCATCGGCAGGAAGAGTGAACAATGTCTTACATGTCAAAAAAGGGAAATTGAAGAAAGGATAGTGAAGGATATAAACGCATCATTGACGTAAAATATAGAGACTCATTACTTATCTCAGACAAAGCCTGCGAGCCGACTTTTACACAGACATCTAGGCCTTGTGCTCGTGGTCTTTCTTGAAGGCACCGGAGAGATCCAACACAGGAAGAGGGCAGGGGATACCGACAGCAGCGCAAGCAGTCAGAATGGCCAAGTACCAACCCGAGATCAAGCCCAACCAACCAAATCCACCTCCAATCTTGAGAAGGAGACCGACGTGCTCGAGATCAGCTGCAGTCTTGATGTTGGGGACAGCAAAATCGGCAGCAGCAATGAAAGAGAACATCATAACCAGACCAAAGAAGGTGGCGACGAAGAAGGCGTTGACGCGGAAAGTCGCGACCAGGAAGGTGAACGACACGAGCACCATGGTGATGTTGTGGAAGCCCTGAGAGGCATTCCATTCGGCTCCTGCGCTACCGCCAGTTCCAAAAGCGGAGAGCTGGTTGTAGAAAGGATCTTGAGTGTATGCGAGACTGCCCCAGTGGCATCCGTAGATGATGAAGACGGCCATAGGGAANNTGCTGTGATGCTTTGTTAGTGTTTCGTTCCATCGTAAAAATTGTCATGGGCTCAACATACTGTTTCCAAGAATAAACTCTGCAACTCCGGCGAGGTTCATCGCAATCGCGCCGAGGAAATAGTAGTCACCGTTCAAGCCGATGAGACTGGTGGGTGCCACGGCACCTCGCAGACCACAAAGGGTGAAGATGGTGGATGTGTATGGGATCAAAAAGCCAAGCAGACCAAGAAGAGTGGGGTTGGCNNTATATCGGTGTTAGAGATGAAGGTCTGACCACACAAAGGTATCATGCAAGACCATACCGAATCTCTTGGAAAAGTCTCCACGTCTAGGTCCCTCAGGCTGGAAGAACAATCGTTCGTATTGTTCAGGTGTGAGTGCGACGGTCATTTGACGACTCAATGGTGAGCCATTGCCACTGTCGCGATCTTCGGTCATGGTGTGTTCAATCTTCTCAGTAGACATTGTTGGTGTGTAGATGATCCTCGAAGATATTGTTGTTGTGAAGTTGAGAAGAGACGTATGGTAAAATAGGGTAGTGTATGTAGACGTAGCGAAGAATGGAAAAGGCTACGATGTGAAAAGGACGATCAGGAGGACCCACGACCTACTTATACACGCTCAGGCCCCCTTCCGAGGCGCCTTTCCTGGTAGACGATAGTTTTATAACCGTCACCCCAGACGTCTGTTAACTCAAACCCCGGATCAGCCGCCATCCCCACATGGGGGATCTCCGCACAAAATTGCCCCGGATGTTGACGCTAGAGTAGGCGCTGGCGTGGTGAACGGCAAGCATAACGTCAAAGGCGGCTGGCAGGATGCATCAGATCAGGGGAACGTGTCGTGTACGGAGGTACGAGGTCGATGGCCAGACTTGATCTGCATGTCTCGAGCAACCTGATGATCCGACTTGTCACTCTCAACGACACTCGGTAATATTTGATATCGAGGTTGAGAATATTAATATGGATTCAATTCAACATGCATACTCGTCCTTCCCGAATGTGCAACACCAACAGACAAGTCACTTTTCTGTTTACACAAAAATCGACATCGGATGCTCTCAAAGCCGGAGCCGAGGAAGCTGAGATTGCTTCTGCTAGCTTCCCAGCACAGCGGCTCAAAAGACCAAAACCAAAAAGGCAGGTGTTGGATCGAGTCGTCAGCAAAAGGTGCCGAGGCCTGTAAGAGCTTAACCGAGGTGAAAGCCTGATATGGTGTATCCCCGCATTCTCCTCGAACCGTTTTTGACTTGATTTCTCCTCCAAAAGTCTTGGAGTGTCTTGTTTCCGACGCCTCTTGAACTGTGTTCTGGGGACGAACCGGAGTGTGACAAGATGCTGCGTAATTTTGCTGGAAAGGACTCAGAGGAGGCGTCGGAAAGCGCGAGGGCTAGACCCAAAAGGTCTCCGCGGCTGCTTTCAAACGGCGAGGTTCGAGCATGTCTGCAGGTGTTAAAAGCTTTGCAACGCCCACAAAAGCCCTCGGGAAGCTTGGGGAAGCTTGGGAGGTGTTGTGACTCTCGAAAAGGCGAAGTAGAAGGCGGATATACTTTTGATTCCAATTCTTTACGTATCCCCGAAGCCGGGTTGCTCCCACTTCGCACCTGGACCCCCGGNCGCCCCAGCGGCTACTCTTGCACCAGCGATTGCGGCGTTGCCAGCAGCAACAGTGTGGGCTAGGTGTGGTGTGTCGCTGCCGCCCATCCAAAACAACATGACAAAGACCAGAAGATGAAGTCCTACAACCCAGACGGCGAACATGTTCCTGCTCGTCCGCGTGGCAAGTACAAGTCTAGACGCTTGCAGGACAGCTCGCTCAGGCAATGATAGTCGCTGAAAAGCGCGGCTGGTTTCTTTGCTACGGAAGGCAGCAAATGGAGATATTGAGTTTTCGTAGGCCGACTTGTAGCGAGCATCGGCACCAGGATTACTGCGATCGATTGTGATGGTGCTTGGATTCGTGGAAGAGTATCCAGATGTTGCGCCACCCTTTGTGTTGTAGCTGTTTACATATCTGCTCTTCTCGTACAAGGATAAATTGTCCTTTTGCAGACTGGCAATCTCGGAGCGCAGAGATGATACGAGAGAGTATTGTTCTTGCAGGTTCGTCTCCAGCTCGCGAATCTTGGCTTTGAAGCGATCACGTTGAGCAGTGACCATTGGCAAAATGCCAGCGTTGGGGGCCTCTGGGCGCAGCGAATCCAAGCCTCTAGGCGACGAGGTGCTCGTATCGAAACCCGAGATGATGGAAGAGGTGGGCGAAGTGTTGGCACCACGACGTATGGAGGCAGCATACGAGGACTTGGGATAGCGAGAGGTATATGTGCCTGCTACCGACATGGCCGAGGGGTCAAAGGTATTGCTGGCTTCGTTCTGGGCTTGCAGCAAATCTTCCTCGAGCGTCTGTGTTAGGTTCCGTGACTTCTCCAATTCCATGTTTGTGCTAGACAGGTCTTCTTGCAACGACTCGAGACGAGATTGGAGGTCGTTGTGCGAGACACGGAGAATGGTGAGCTCGTTGGAGAGCTTCTTGTTGCGAGCGAGAAGGAGCTTCTCCAGCGATTCACCTTTGTCGGTGGTAGGGGCGGTATTTGTTTCGTGGTCCGAGTCGTCTGCGTCGCCTGTCGCGAACTCGATCGNACTATTGTCTGTCAGTGGAGTCTTCTACCGACCAAGACTCGCGCAACATACCTTGAGCATGTCCAGCTCTTGCTTGACCTCGTCATAGTCGCTGCACCTGTCCAACTTGCGCTTGATGCTCTCGCGATCCTGCTTGAGAGATTCCAACTCCCGCTCGAGCGTCCTGACGTTCGAATCCCACTTAGTCTTTTCCGAGTCCTTCTCGTAGCGTTGTGCATCGAGCTTTCGCAGGAGTTGAGAGTTTTCGGAGCGTAGACGGAGAAAGGCAGGGTCGTCTTCGACCAAGGTGGCAGTCTGGGATGAGCTCTGGTTGGCGGTAGATTGAGCGAGGTCAAGGCGGAGTTGCTCGTTGCGGCCCTCCAGCTCGGACAGGCGTAGATTTGCCTTTTCCAATTCCTGGTTGACGAGGTCGAGCTCCTGCTGCGATGCGCCGTGGAGGTTGTTTGATGTGTCGTCTTCAGCCTTACCTAGACGTTGGGCGACGTCGTAGCTGGCCTTAAGCTCCTTCAACAGGCGGTCTTGGTTGTCGACCTTTTCTTCCAAGCTCTTCTCTCTTGCATCCCAGTTGTCTTGCTTCTCTTTCAGGACGGCGTTCCATGATGCTTCGACTTCTTTGATCTTAGTGTCCTGACTTGACTGTGAGGACTGTCTGGTAGCGCGCTCGTGTTCCAACTGAGATTCAGTCTCTTCTAGTTGTGCTGTCAACTTGGCGACGGTTGACTGAAGGTGTTTATTCTCGGATTCGAGCTTGGGGACAACTTCTTGGGCTGTGACAAACGAGTCGATCGAGGCTTCGAGCAGTGGGTACGGATCGGGGGCTTCAGACAGCGGCGAGTAGATTTGGAGAAAGGCAGACTGGGTCGACTTTGACTGGTTGGAGATGAGGTCGATGAAGGACTGGTAGGACTTGAGCAAGCTCTTGATCTCGCCCAACTTGGCGACATCTTCGAGTTTGCGAAAGTCTTTGGTCTTTTGGGCGAGCTCCTTGCGTTGGACCAATGTGTCGCGTTGGTGAGTGACGAGGTCCGAGGCGGCTGTGTCGAGGGTGGAGATGAGAGAGGACAGGTCAACATNCTATCCAGGCGTCAGTGTCTGAGATACCAGAAGCAGGAGAGGGAAGGAGGGCATACTCCGCCATGAAGCGATTGCTTGCTGGAACTTGTTCTCCTTGTCCTGGTCATTCGAGGCGCCCTGGACGGCCTGTGGCTCTACTACTTCGCTTGCCATGTTGACTAGCTCTGTTACGTACAGCGCATGTGATTGCAAGTGAGACAGGCAAGAGCGAGCTTATTGTTGGAGCAATGTGTTCGTGTGTTGACCAAGTCGGAAGGAGCATCCCACGGGTTACGTGGAGATTCTTGGCGCGTTGACATGTGAGAATGACGCCCGTCGTAACCACCTTGATTGGCATAGACATCAACCAGAGGCAGTCGCGCCATGAAGAAGTATGGATGCCGCAGCTGGTGATGGCGCATACGTGTTGCGCGACTTGATGCGCAATGCACCACTATCGCCCGACGGAGAAGAAGAGCACGATGTCTACATAACTTGCGTCGATGCCTGGGGTGAGTCGCGCCTTCCGGAACCACCGCTCTTGCCATTCTTCTGACTCCTGACANNAGACGGCAACTTGTACATTGGCACATCGGCAGGAGAAATCCTCCATTTCGTCTCGATTCCTTCCCCCGACTCGGATCAGCCTACCTACATCCTCGCTTCTCGCATACAACCCGAACACTCCAACAAATACAATGACTCTCTACCACTCGTTGAGCAGATCCTGCTGCTACCATCTGTCGGAAAGGCATGCGTCTTGTGCCATGGGACTCTGACCTTCTACACACTACCTGAACTCAGTCCGGCTTTCGGAGGCAAGATCAAGCAAAGCGATTGCACATGGGTCGGAGGGCTGGACCGCGATTTGGATGGAAAAGATCTGGATCCTGCTGATGGCTGTATCATTGTCATTTGCTTGAGGCAGAAGCTGCGAGTTATTCGTATCATGGAACAGGGTTCTCCTCGCAAAATCAGAGACATTGAGCTTGGAAACTGTCTGGACATACAGCGAAGAGCAGACCTCGCTTGTGTCGCCGACGGCACATCTTATGCCTTGCTGGACATCGTCAATCAACGCAAGATCGATCTCTTTCCCATCTCGTCTTTCTCCGACTTGGCTTCTGGTCGTCAGAGCCCGAATATCGATCCTCCNCCGATACAACGCCCACCGTCAAGAAGCTTCTCAGCCACCAGTCCCGTTCGTAGGCCTGATCTTCGTGCTCAAGACAGGATAGCCAGCGTGGGAGGTGCGCCACAGACTCCTGGTCGACAGACCCCAGACCGTCTCCATCCCAACGACTCTCCTTTGCCATGGCCGCATCGTGCTGCTTCTCGTCAGGCTCTTTCTCCCAGCCCAACGAGGCCGCTTGCTAGTCCATCGCTGGACACTGACGGCAAGATCCTTCCTCCCACTCCTCAAGTCGAACAGCCGCCACTTCCACCTTCAGTGTTACACTCCTCGCTGAAGCCTCACATCTCTACCCCCACACCGAACGAATTTCTGTTGACCACTGGCACTTCTCCTGATGATCCTGCTGTGGGTATGTTTGTCAACCTCGATGGTGACGTGGTCAGAGGCACGATTCAGTTCGAGAGCTATCCCGACTCTATCATCGTCGACAGTCAAGCTTCAGATCCTTCCATGCCACAAATGCCCGGAGAAATGTCTCAGGAAGGCTATGTGATAGCTGTCGTAAGACGTGAGAAGGACGGCGCAGTTGAGAAGATTGTCGAGTACCAACGTTGGGATGTCGATCCTGCGGACAACCAGTATCATAAAGACTACCTGAGTCTCCCCGATTCTGACATGTCAAGAGCTCAGATGGCACTACGAGAAGCTACTACTTCGACTAATTTGAGCCTACCATCTGTTGGCAAAGCACTTAGTCTGCGCCGGCTCTATCTCCATCAAGCGACACCAGACGAGACCGCAACAGAAGTCAAGCGCAACAATGACGAAGACAAGCTGATTGATCGTTTCTCCACTATCCAGACCAAAGTTCTGCTATTTGCAAGCGACTCTATCTGGTGGCTTGTTCGAAATCCTCTGGTCGTGCAGCTCGAGACACGGTTAAGTGCTGCCGTAAATACTGCGGACGATGCGTTTACCGTACAGCGTACTCAGGTGCAAGCTGTTATCAACAGCATTCGTGGTAAGGAAGCCACAAATGAGTTTGAATTNTTTGGCTTCAATTATATCCGCCAACAAGCTTCTCTGCTGCTGTTGATTGATCTTATCCTCAAAACAAATCAAGGCGCCATCGCTTCTGAGACCGACAAGCGCGCGACTCACGATGCTCTTGTAGAGGGAGAGATAGATCCCCGCATCATCTTATCTATCATACCGGTCTTGTCGGATGAGGTTGTCGAAGGTCCACAAGGCCTCTGGATTCCTGGTGGTCTCAAGAATGCCATTGATCAATTCAAGGCCCAGTACCATGCAGATACCATCAACCAAGATCCACAAGGTCCGTACGGAGACAATCTTTTGCAAGTTATAAAGCATTACCTCCAGTCGTGGAGACGGAANAAAGGCTTTGGCAGTGTTGCAGATGAGAAGCAAGTTTTTCATACTGTGGACGCTGCGTTGTTGTCTCTGCTCCTGATGCTCGACAGTAACACCTTCCCCGGACCAGCGATACCAGGATCAATACGCGCCGAACTCAACGATGTGGTCGACCAAGGCGTTGAGTGCTTCGATCGTGCAGTTGAACTTCTTGAACAACACAAGCGCCTCTACGTTCTCTCTCGTCTTTATCAAAGTCGCCGCATGGTAGGTCAAGTTCTGTCGACCTGGCGCCGTATACTCGAGTCATCTGAAGACATGGGAGGAGAGTTGATCGACGGTGAACTCGACGTCCGCAAATATGTCACCAGGATTAAAGACATCGAACTTGTCAAAGATTATGGTACTTGGCTCGCGAATCGCAACCCTTCGCTCGGTGTTCAAATTTTTGCAGATGAGAATGCGAGAGTGAGGTTTACGCCTGCCGAAGCTGTTGACCTTCTGAAGGAACGCGCACCAGCTGCTGTCAAGGATTACTTGGAACACCTCGTTTTTGGCAAGAATCAAAATCAATATGCCAACGACCTCATATATTTCTATCTCGACACCGTCACCAAGGCTATCTCGGACCCTTCAACGTCTGCACGGGACATACTTCTTACGAGCTATCACACTTACCGGGCCTTGTTCCCGCCAAAGCCGACGTACAGTCAATTCATCCTTGACAATAGTCTTCCAGACACATGGTGGCAGAACCGACTTCGACTTCTTCAGCTCATTGGTGGTTCATCGGTTTACGATGTGGAAGCTCTTAGCGGCAGACTAGAGCCTTACTCAGAAGTCTTCGTACCCGAGATGATCGTTCTCGCTGCTAGACGAGATGAGCATCAGAAAGCTCTAAGACTGCTCGTCCATGGCTTAGCAGACTTCGACACCGCTGTGCGGTATTGCCTCCTCGGTGGTAGCAGCATCTTCCACCCTGCTTCATCTTCGTCCACTCTTCCTTCACCATCAAAAGAAGAACAGCAGATTCTTTTCTCACATCTGCTACATTGTTATCTTGGTCTCGAAGACAAAAACCAGATACTCGAGAGAGTTGCAGAGCTTCTTGAGAGATTTGGGAGCTGGTTTGATGTTGCCGAAGTTCTGCCTTTACTCTCACCATCATGGCCACTCGAGCACTTTGGCACGTTCATCGCAAGTGCCATGGGCAGACTTGTGTCTGAAAGGAATGAGACTGTCATAGTAAGAGCGCTTGCTGGTGCACAGAATCTCAGAATCGCTGTTGATGTGGTGGAAAAGATTGAGAAAGAAGGGGCCACATGGGAGAGTGTCAAGAAAGACAGTGGTGTTGCCTAGAATCTCGGCTTGATGTAAAGGTCATTCTCATAGCTAAGACGGTACAGATTACTATATGCTCTCACTCCTAGGATCCGACCGAGCAGAGGCCAGAAACTCGTACTAGGACGTATGGCGATATTAGCAGGGTCATCGATTTTATGGCAACCACAACATCAACAGGAGTATGCCACCTCAGTGGAGCTTGAATGTGTTGCTTGAGAAGCACGAAGAAGCGTTTGGCCCAAACGTGCTTCGAATTACATTCACCAGAACTCCCGACACTGGTCGGTGTCCACTTCACATCGATCATATATCCGCGGTGGAAATTTAAAGCTGGTGTCATTGACTGACAATGCATCGGCGTGGCACCAATGAGATAAGTCTTTTCAAGAAAGGATTTGTAGATTCCGCTGTCGAGTGGACTATATGGGCACAAATCAAACATCGTCAGACTGTCTCGCAGCTGGGCGTGAGAGCTGTGAGACATGAAGCCTTTCCGCCGTGTCCTTCAGTTTCCAGGAAATGTTTGCTTGCTGAAAGCGAACCTCAGGTTTTATGTGTCAAACGAAAGCATCTATAGAAGCCTCACAGAATGAAGTATTCCTTGAGACAATGAAAGCGCCTGGATCTTCTGGCCATACAGAGTGTCAAACTATCCCTTTAGGCCAACCTTCCAGAAGCCATATCACGACTATATAGGCTGAATTCTTTCACGAGCGGGACTCTTGTTGCGACATGCTGGTGTGTTTGCCGAGACAACTGCTTTCAAGACCAACCTGATTCTCTGTTTTTGGCATGATCCGAGGCTTCTCTGAGGCCTTCCGCTGATTCTCGGCCAGAGCAATATAAGTTGTTCAATATCGCTCTCAAGATCTAGACACACTCACTCAAGAGTAAGATTGACACCATGAGCGGAACCAAGCCTGTATCCGCGTTCGTCACCGATGGAGGTGCTGCACTGACCAAAGCCGAACTGGAGATGGAACTCAAGCAGGCTATTGCCAAAGTACTGCCCACTGACTATGATCACTACAGGGAGGTGAACGTCTTGGCAGTTCACTGGAGTGACCCAAAATGGGTCACCCTCGAGGACGAGCTCATGACCACTTTCAGGGACGTCTATGGCTTCAGAACAAGCACCTTCGTCATTGATGTCAAGAGAAATTACGACGTGACTTCGGATCTCAGAGATAGGGTCATTCGGTTCGTGAAGGATGGTGACAGGCCCAAGGCTTTGGGCATCATTGTCTACTCCGGACACGCGGAGACAAACCTCAAGGCTCCCGCCCCTCAGCTTCACCTTGGAGCAGAACTGGTGTCAGAACAGTTGAAAGGCCCTTTCATAAACTGGACCCGCCACGCAAGCATGACCGACACGTTCAAGGGTGGCGAGGTACTGCTAGTCATGGATTGCTGTTTCGCAGCACAAGCAATTCGAACCAACAAAGGACCCGAGCTGCTGGCTGCTTCAGGCTGGGAGGCTCAGGCTTCAGCCCATGTCGATTCATGTCTGACCGCAGCTCTTAACACAATCTTGAAGGAACTCAATGGTCAGACCTGCAAAGTCGCCGACGTTTATGCGAAGATTCTGCACGGCAAGAAGCACTACGGCCTGACAACAACCCCGGTCCATGCACTCACGCTCAACTCCAAAGCCCAGAGCATCACCTTGGAGAGATTGAGCGGCAAACAGCCAACAGGACGCTCTGTCAACGTGTCAAACTCGTCAAGTCACATCAACGACAGAGTCATCTTGAGTGTTCATCTGTAAGACATCGCCGAAGGCCACAATATCGAGCAGTGGAAGCACTGGCTCACTCAGTCCTTGCCAAGAAATATCCGTGACATCAAGATCGAATATATCGCAGCCCACTCCTCGAACTCGATGAACTTTGTCTTCTCTGTGCCTACTTGGATCTGGACATGCATGAATCCTGATGTCAATGCCTTCAGATTCGTCGCCCATGTCCGTGGCGCCAATGTGTTGTTGCCCCCAGGTATGCCTCTCGCATTCCAGCCTTCTGGTCCTCTGCCGCTACACATCAAAAGGAGAACCAGGACCTGAGAAAGCCAGGCCAAGGCAACCAGCCAGGTCAGAGCCACCACAAAAGCTCTTACAGCATGAGCAGTCTGCCTCGTTGATCTTGTTCGCTCTACAAACTCGCTGTTGTCAACCCCCTTATGGTAGCTACTTTCTTCTGGATGACACTCAGTACTTCCGCGATTATGGCTCAGCAATCTCGGAATAGGGAGGAGGTGGGACGTCTGAGCATACCGCTCTTTCAAATTACCCCCTCGATGTTTTCTATGACTTTCTCTTTGTCTCATTGCGTTTCTCGAGTCCATACACATTGATGGTCTCACATAAGCATCCGTAGAGATGATTTGCTTGCCGCGCAGATCGCTATCAGACATTCCTCATTATCGATTTCTATCTCTCCGTCCTTCCTACATAATGTGAAAACGTCGAAAGCGAAAATCGTGTCACCCTGTCAACTAAATCTGTTGTACATGATAAAGTCATTGATAGCCCGAATATGGATTGTAAACTTCTCCTTCCAGGTATTCCACCTAGTAGAGTGTTAATGAACCGAAGGTAAAGGAAACAGGATCAGCCTAGATTTCACGATTATGTATACAAACATGATTTTTTACGTATTTCTGTCAAGACCGCATAGATTCGACAAGGCAACCCAAACCCAGCCTTTGCATCTGATTCGACCCAGGCAGCGGTACCTTGGCATTCTCAGATAAGTTGGGGACATAAAAATAACAGATCTCGGAGATATTATTTCGACCGAAGCTGTTCACGTGAACAAGCTTGTTCAGCCGCAGGCGCCTCATTCATTTCATCAGAAAGGTGTCGCTTCATCGTCCATCCATGATTTCCTAGTACGATCTCGAGGTTATCGTGACAAAGACGTGTAAAGCTGGAAAGTTGTGACCTCGCAGTGCACAACGGCCTCCAGCATCCACCTTGTATGGGCGCCTTGCCTGCATTTTCGGCTGTAGCCGTTCATGGATTATGGATTTCAGTCGCGAGTAGACCTTTGTGTTACTAGTTTTGTCCGCAGAACTACAGAATGATCTGATCGATACTGAAGAGCGAATGGCTACGCACTGAGGTCGCATGCGATTGCACACAAAAGCCATCAGTCGGTGTGACTCAACATTCAGCCGTACATTCACTCTCCACCCTCCACATGTCCTCATTCTTACTCAGCGCAAAGCCCTTACTTTCAGGCAGCACTCAGCTTCAGACCTGAAAGAGACTTCTGACTTGATCATCACCGGAACCCACACTCAGACCTTTCTATCAGAATGCCATCTATTACGCATTCACATTCGCAACCGCCTACCAGTGAGCTTTTCGAACAAGAGCTTCGTGCAGCTCGTGTCACCCTCCGAAGCGATGTGCTCCAACACGACCGCCCTGTCTCGGTACTCAAGATCGGCCTCTTGCTGCCCATGCCAATCGTTCTCGCCGAATGGCTCCATGACTATAGAACGAAATCCTACCTAGACTTACGCCGTGGCTGTATATTAGGAGTCGATCACGGCTTGGAAATCATCACTGCACATCGCGCGTTTCCGAATAGGAACCTGGCAGTGCTCATATTCACTGTACCCACAGCGATGTGGGAAGCACTCCAAAACTCTCGAATTTCAGAGCACATCACGTTCATATCTACAGTTGCTGAACCAGATGTGGTAAACGATACACAACTGCTCCATCTACTCAATCGACGACAGAAAAGACGTAACGAAGGCCCGATACTTGGAAAGAGATTCTCTGAAGATCTGGAAAGGATGCAACGAGCTTATCACGATGGTCTGTCGCCTGTCGTAGCGTCAAGAGGCNNTTTTTCTTTTCCACGCGCCATGTTTACAGCAACCCTTCGTACCGATATGTTCCATGATCCAGACCCGATCGATGACGACTGTGAGGAGGATCAAAATCCTCCGGTGCATTGGTGTGAGATAATGGAAAGATACCACTTCCCCGTTCACCTTGACGTCGTCAGCGAAGTCAGTTTGGGCGAAGATAGCGCAGAGGTTACTTTTGTGATGGAGAAACGTTATTGGCCGTATCTTGAAGTTACATCTACACTCTATCGATTTGTTCGATATCTTGACGAACAAGAGTACAATGAGACAATCCCAAACGATCTCCGGTTACAGCTATACAAAGAACGAAAGGCGAGTGAAGCAGAAGAGGAACGACTGCAGAGACAACGGAATAAAGCGACAAGAAGAGCGAGGCGAAGTGAGAGGAGAGAGGAGAAGAAAAAGAAAAAAGCGAATATGGAGACAAGAAGAGGACAGGATAGGAGAGAAGGCAAAAGGAAGACTCAAGCGGCCAGGACGAAATCCTAACAGATATAGTCAGACAAATTAGTCGTGGATTGAGATGATCCGTGGCCTACAGCATTGCTAGAAAGCCTTTTCGACCGAGTCTATGCTATAAAACCTGCTGCGAGCCGCCTTTATTCCTCTCCAACCACACATTCCACTCAATCTCCACAGCAGCCCTCACCTCCTCCATACTACCAAATATCCCTCTCCAACACCCATCCACCACATCTCCCAACACTCTCAGATTCCTCGTGTCAGGAAACCTGCCAGCCACGATCCTCTCTTTAATCTCTTCATTGTTTAACTCAGGCCAGACCTCCTCTCCGTTCACCATCGCCCAAATCGCCATCCCAAAAGCAAACACTTCTGTCTGCACAGAAACACCAGTCGTCGCAACAACATCAGTCCCATTGTCCGTGAACAACCGATACCCATATCTATACGAACATCGCGAAGCCCTGCCATCAACGGCCGCACCGCCCCAATCCCCAACTTTGAGATCCAAGCTCCTCGTCAGGAAGAAATTGAGCAGATGAATATCTGAATGGAATATCCCCTTGCCGTGAGCAAAAGCAAGTGCCTCGGCAGCTTGCATCACCCATCTGAAAAGCATTTCCTCAGATGGTGGTGTGTTTGTACTCCTCAACCAGTCCTGCAGATTCCCTTCTTGTGCAAACTCCAAAACAAGTCCGGAAGGTATGGTCTCATGTACACCATGATATCCCAATAAACTCTTTGGCGCATCTTCGTGCTCAGAAAAGCGTTCATAGACTTCTTTTTCGGTGACGAAAAGCGTGGGTGCAAAGTGTGGGTGTATGGATTTGCAGATCACCGGCGCGGAAATGTTGGCGTAAGAGGAAAGTAGGTATATGGTAGAGGTATGGCCATGTGCATCAGGCAGCCGCGTATATGGTGATGTTGTGGTTGTCAGAGAAAGAACGTATAGACATGCTATACCAACAAGAATTTGCCATAGCATTGCAACGACACTTCAACTTCAATAATCATGATTGCAAAAAAATCACACAACGACTTGTCGCGGTGCATGGGTGGGGGTCTACTATTTATTTGCTTGCGAAACGAGAGGGGTCAAAAGGTCAAAAGGATTGTTGCGTTGGGCGCAAATGAACCGCGCGTCTTCCCTTTGGGATCCTTCCTGCTCGTACCACCAAGGCGCGATACCAAGCAGAGCCAGTGAGCTTGTTTTGACCACACACACACCCGATCTCCATTTTTGGCAGCGCAATGGCGCTGCTCGTAAATTGCGAGCGTGCGTGTTTTTGGTAGGAAGGATCGATCACGCGTCGGCGACACGAACTTAGCCCCAACGTTTTCGGCCAATCAGATGAGTTGTATCACTATTGTGCACTTCCGAGTGTCTGGCTCAACTAAATGTTGATTATCGTCGCTTACTCGCATCTATATATATTGCTGTTCTGGTGGGTCTTGATATTGCAAATTGATCTGGAGGGCGACGAGAAACTAGGAGATGCACGGAGCGTGATTTATGTATTTTCATTTTCTGGTTCTTCGATATCTTTTCTAGCAAGACAATGTGTTATATATTGACATTCCCGTATCGCAGAGCTTCATCAGTTCTCAACTCTCTTGACAGAACTTCTGACATCCTCAGGCAATTCTTCTTCGCTCACGATGCCTAGGCTCAGTGCATCACCCCAGAAGAACATGGCTCTATCTCTAGCATAAGCCAGGTAGTCAAACTCTTCCTCCGCTTGCTTGTCATCTTCCTCATTTGGATCAGGTCGCTTGTCGCTGATATCGTCTTGCAACTGCTTTGCTTCTGCGTCAAGAGGATCGGAGAAGGGTTGCTCTCCAGTAGGTGTAATCTCATCTGGTGTCTCCGACAGAGGGATGGTCGAAGACGGAGCAGAAGGCAGGCCAGGCACTTTGGCTTGCACGATACCCCAAGCTACCCATTGAGCAGTGTTTGCAAGACGCCACATGTGTGTTTCGCGGAGGAGGGAGCGCACTTGAGCGTCTTCCTGGGCTTGGTATTCTGCATCTTGCTTTGCGGTCGTGGCGGCTGATTCAGGAGGTCCTCTTGCGTCCAACATGAAGTTCGAGATGCTGCTCGTAGGACCGGGCGGGCGCTTGAGCTTGTCCTTCTCCTTGTCTGCGGCAGCGCTATCTTGAGGTCCTAGCATGGGGGTCGCAGCGTTGAATTGAGGACGGTGACGCACGTAGGCGCGAAGGAAACGTTCCTGTTCTTCGGGAGTGGGGTACAAGGATGTGTTGCATCGCCAGGGTACCTTCTCATCGTGGTAGTTGTAGCACCACTCTGTAAAGTGGTTGGCGAATTCTAGACCGGGAGTGTTTGCGTTGGCGTATTCGAAATCGATGACGATGAGTTGTTTGTGCGTGTTCGCAGGGAGCAGGAGAGGCGATGTGCCTGAG